TCCTGCCGCAATGCATTGCTCGTGTGTTGGTGTAAACATACTTACTGCACTGACAGTTAGATAAAAGTATAGCACTTACAGTTATGTAAAATACATGATACTTGATAATGATAAAAAATAACTATGTTACTGGCTTATGTATTTACTATACTATACTTTTAATCATTATTCTAGAGTGTACTCTTTATACTTATAAAAATTTTTTTGCTGTAAAACAGGATGTCACATTATGCCAGCAGCAGCCTCATGCATCTTGTATTTACTGTGTCTCTTAATTGTTCCTTTTCTCTTGTGCTTGATTTAATATCATGTTGTTGTTTTTCATCACGGCCCCTAAGCAAATAAAATCCACTGCTAATCTTGCCAATAAGAGGTGTTTAGTGATTGCCCTGGAAACAAAATTAAAAGTGATTGACTACAAATTTGGAAAATGTAATGGTTGTTGCTTGCCAGTCAGGCATATCCCACTTCACCATCACTAGACTCTTGAAGAACAAGAACAAAGTGACAGAAGCTGTTAAAGATCTACTTCATTAAAGACAACGAGACTAACAAAATTTGAGAAGGGCCTAGGACAGACGTGGCCTGGATTGAAGACCGGACACAGAAGTTATCCCTCTCAGCACCATGATGGTCGTGGTCAAAGCAAAAAGTTGGTTTGCAGTGTTGAAAGAAAAGGCTGGACCCAACTACAGTGTTGAGTTTACTGCTAGCTCTGGGTGGCTTAAACAAGTTACTTAAAAAGTTTAAAAACATGGACCCAATACCAAAAGGTTTTCATTAATAGAAAAGAATAATTATGAGGCACTCTCTGCTTATAAGCAAATCTGTGATGGGAAGAAGAGACAAATCAAGCAAACCACCATGGACATATTTCTGAAAAGGTTGACACCTCCTCAGAAAGAGCCTCAGGCAGACCCTTCAGGAGGTGTTCCAGACGAAGGCGTTGTTGCCATGATAGCTCCGTGTGCCTCACTGCCCCTGAACACCTTCCGGGGGGCAAGGTGTGCAGGTGGAAGATAGTGATATTCCTGATACTGACCCTGTAATAGGCCTAGGCTAATGTGTGTGTTTGTGATTTAGTTTTTAACAAAAAAGTTCGAAAAGTAAAAAACAAAATTTTAAAGTAGAAAAAAGCTATAGAACAAGGATAAAAGAAAGAAAATATTTTTGTACAGCTGTAAAATGTGTTTAAGTATTATTACAATAGTCAAAAGCTAAAAATTTAAAAGTTTACAAATTAAAGAAGTTACAGTAAGCTAAGGTTAATTTTTATTGAATAAAGAATACATTTTTATATAAATTTAGTATAGCCTAAGTGCACAGTGTTTATAAAGTCTATAGTATGTACAATAATGTCCTAGGCTTTCACATTCACTCACCACTTACTCACTGACTCATCCAGAGCAACTTCCAGTCCTGCAAATTCCATTTACAGTAAGTGTCCTATACAGGTGTTCCATTTTAATCTTTTTTTTTAATCCTCACCCAAGGATATTTTTTCCATTGGTTGTTTTTTTTTCTTTTAGAGAGAGTGGAGGGGAGGAAGAGTAAGGGGAGAGAAACATCGATGTGAGAGAGACACATTGATTGGTTGCCGATCCCCCCTCTCCCCCCCATACTCTGACCGGAGCTAAGGTAGAACCTGCAGCTGAGGTACGTGCCCTTGACCAGGAGTCAAACCCACGACTTTCCAGTCTAGAGGTCGACACTCTAACGGTTAGAGTCTAACCACTGAGAAAAACTGGCCAGAGCCCATTTTAAATCTTTTATACTGTATTTTTATTGTACCTTTCCTATATTTATATATGTTTAATTATTTTGTATTGATTTGAGAGAGAAATGTCAATTTGTTGACCCACTTATTTATGCATTCATTGATTGCTTCTTATATGTGCCCTGACTAGAGATTGAACCTATAACCTTAGCAAATCATGATGACACTCTAACCAACTGAGCTACCTGGCCAGGGCTGTTTAGATACACAAATAGCATTGAGTTACAAACTGCCTATAGGATTCAGTACGGTCACATGCTGTATAATTTGTAGTTTAGAAACAGTAATTGGTTATACTATGTAGCCTAGGTATATATTAAGCTATACCATCTAAGTTTCCGTGCACTCTATGATGTTCGCATAATGACAAAATCACCTAACAATGGATTTCTCAGAACATCTCCCTGCTGTTAAGCAACTAATAAATGTATATATAAATATTTAATTTTTGAAGGACTATAAAATTAACATGTGAGTATAACTTTTTTTTTTAGGTGCTCCAATTTTACTTCAAGAATTACAGCCTGAAGAAGAGTTACAATTGTGGAATGAGGTAAAGAATTACCCTCATATAAATTAGTGGAAATTATACCCTTCTTTGAACTTATAGTAAAATGAAATGATATAATTGAAATTTGGGACAGCTATAATTTTACTAACATTCTGATATTATAACATTTACAATTATAATTTTTATTAAAAACATCAATGAGAGAGAAACATCCATCAGCCGCCTCCTGCACACTCTCTACTGGGTATGTTCCCACAACTAAGGTACATGCCCATGACCGGAATCGAACCTGGGACCTTTGAGTCTGCAGGCCTACGCTCTATCCACTGAGCCAAACCAGTTAGGGCAGGAAATTCTCTTTTTTTAAAAAAAAAAAAGTTTTTATTGATTTTAGAGAGAGAGGAATGGAGAGGGATAGACAGATGAAAACATTGATGAGAGATGTTTCTTCTGCATGCCTCCTACTGGGGATCGAGCCCACAACCTGCGCATGTGCCCTGACCTGGAATCGAACTGGTGACCTCTTAGTTCATGGGTCCATGCTTGACCACTGAGCCACACTGGCTAGGCATGGAAATTATCTTTTTAAAAAATCTTTATTGTTGAAAATATTACATATGTCCCTCTTTTCCCCCTTCTAGCCCATCCCTGCCCTAGGCCTTCACCGCACTATTGTCTGTGTCCATGGGTTATGCATATATGCATACAAGTTCTTTGGTTGATTTCTTCCTACCCACCTACCTACCCCCACCTTCCCTCTGAGATTTCACAGTCTATTCCATGCTTCTATGTCTCTGGATCTATTTTGTTCATCAGTTTATTTTGTTCATCAGATTCCACATATGAGTGAGATCACCTGATAGTTGTCTTATTTTGCTTAGCATAATAATCTTACTAAGAGTTTTGTTCATCTTAAATCAAATTTGAACTTAATCAAATACTTTATCTGCATCTTTCGAAATAAGCATTATGCCTTTTCTCCTTTATAATCATGATGAATTACATTAAGAAAATTCATTTAGTTTTTTTCAGAAACTTCATAAATATAACCTCAAATCGATATGGAAAAGCGTAGGTCTAAAAATAGCTAAGGAGATTTTAAATATAAAGAGCTAAGAATGAGAACTTGCCCTAGCAGATATCAAGGGGTACTAGAAAACTGTAGTAATAGAGAAGGTAATGACACAAGAACAGACAGATGAACCAACGGAACAGGGACTAAAGCTTGGAGAGTCTAACAGACATTGTCAGTGCCCTGCCATGTCCCTTTGGCACTCACCATTCCAGGGCACTCCTAATTTGCTGATTCTAATCGCATGCCCCTGTGAATCTGCCTGCTTGGCCTATGCTCAGGGCATACCAGAAATGCCTGGGAGTAAATGCCCCCACTGAGAGCAGCCCCCAATTGGTGGCCCAAGGGAGTTGGTGGCTAAATACCTTAACTCTGAGTTCTACGTTGGCTCCCAGAGTTCCCCCGACATATTGACCCCAGTTACCAATAGTGATAACCTGCTTGGTAACATTCCCTTAATTGGATTTCTGTTTTATTTCTCTGGTCTTCTATTAGTGCTTCTTGGGTCATCTCCCCCAAATCTACTGATATCAACATCCTTATCTCAAGGCCTGTTTCTGGGGGAACCCAACTTAAGGCAGAAATTCAGGTACACGCAAACTTAACTCACAATAAAAGTAATGCTAAAATTCATGGGGAAAGGACAGAGTGTTTGGCCAGTGAGGGTTGAGAAACTGTCTTGCTATATGGAGGAAAGTAAAACTTAACACCTTATGAAAGGGGGGCTGCAGATGGATTAAAGATCTAAATATAAAGGGTAAAATTATGGAATTAATAGAAAATATTTTCTATTAGGAAAATATCTTTGTGAGCTAGTAGCAGGAAAAGACTTCCTAAATAAAACTTCAAATATAAATCGTAGGGTCAAAAAATGATGAATCAAATTACATTAAAAGTAAAGATTTCTTTCAACAAAAGATGCCATGGAAAAAGGTAAGAACCCTCGAAATGAGATATTAACAATGTCTAAACTGATAAGGGATTAATTTCTAAAATAACCTAAGAAATATTATCAAATCAATTAGATAAAGATGGGAATCCAGGTAAAAATAGACAAAGGCTAGAACAATTTAAGACGTACCAGTTAGACAGGCCAACAAACCTGTCTAAAGTGATGCTTAAATTCATTAGTAATAATGAAATGAAAATTAATAAAACAGCAAACTGTCATAATGGCAAAGGATGTGGAGGGGTACGGACCCTCACCCATTGCTGGCGAGTGTGTCAACTCGGGAGCCAGCTTGAAAGCCACCTAGATATCCCCATTACCTCTCCTGGGTATAGAGCCCAGATATTCTCCTACAGATCCATGAGTGGAGGACAGATACAAGGAGGTAAAGGAGGGATTCGAGGGAACCCAGCTGTCTGTCATCAGGGAATGTGTAGGCAACATGTGGTGGGTACGCATTGTAGGTATTCTCCAACAGTTGGGAGCAGCATACTAAAGTACCCAGTAACATGGATAGGTCTCAAAGTATAGTGCTAATTGAAAAAAAAGTAAGAAAATAACATATGTGCACACCAAACAACAGTAACATTTTATAAGATCCTAAGCAAATGAAGGAACCACATAAATGACAGAAGAGTTGCCTATGGGAGGATGGAACAGGAGTAGGAAATGGAAATGTAAAAATAATAGAGTCCAATGGTGATAGTGAGCTATGAACTGAGAAGTGTACCCTTTGTACCTAGCCACCCCCAATAATATATATAAGGGAAAAGATAAGATAGATGGTGAGTGCCAAGTCCTAAAAAGCCTTTAATTGCATAGCATTCATAAAGTTTATTATGAGGATCTTTGCTTTGGTATATCAAAGCACACACCAGAAAAATATAAACAAGAAGATAATTTAGACAACAGGTAGTGTATAATAAAAAAACATTTATTTTAGCTTGAAACCATCTGTATTCTGTGGGAAATTTTTGAAAAAAATAATTTAGATGATAATGCTGGGTAAAACTCCGAGATGTAAAGGCCCTATCATTTAAGTAAGTTAAGATGCTAAGAATACTAGAAACATATTTTCAACCCATATACAGAGAATTAATGGACAGGAAAGATGAACAAGCAGCGTCTATCTGTAAAAAACTAAATGCCAGTTATACCGTAATACATTTTCAACCAAATTCATCAATGGATTCTGCAGAGTTCTCGAAAGCCATTAGTGGCACTTAAAATTATTAGGGCCAGAATCTGAGTACAATGAACAAATGGGTGAGCAACGTTGCTGTGCCCTCTAAAAGAAAGGAGAACAAAGACTGAACAGCTTTGCAATTATCTCTTAATTTAATTAATTGGTGTTTTTTCTTATTCTGATGTTTTTATTCATACGATGTGGATGCACTCATTACTTATCTTGTGGCTCAAGAGTTCTGTATTCTTGGACACTGTGGCCACCTCACACAGATGGGCAGCCTGATCTGTGGGTGGATAGCCTTCCCCCTGAGCTTTTCTGTCTTCAGATACCTAAGCAACACAAAAATTTTAGGAGGAATCACTTTCTCCAACCTGTTAAATCACAATAAATGTCATTGGGAGGTGATATATTACACATGGGTCATAATTCAGAGCTTAAAAGGGTATCTTTTTTGGCTTTCCTCTCTCAATTGACTTGTCTTATATTTTTTCCATAAGTTCAATTACATTTAGTTAAACAATATTTATTGAAAACTTATTCTAGGCAAGTTAGATATGGCATAGCCCCTGCCCTCAAGAAGTTTATCACTATGTGTGTATATGTGTATGTGTCTTTATATTCATGATTCTGGGTTTATATGGCATGGAAGAGGGAGCGAGGGACAAGTGGAATAAAACAATTCCCCCAAATCTGCGATATATGTAGAAGATGACAAGTTCTGTGAGGATAAAGAGGAGAGAGATGTAAGCTTGCTTTTTTATAATATTGGACACCTTTGTTATTCTCTAGTTAGAGAATCATATATTTTAGGACATGTTCAACTTGAAAGCAACAAGGAACTTGAGAAATTTTGACTGAAGAGTATGATAATCTCCTCTTCAGTTTGGTGGGAGAATGGAAACTAAATTAAACTGTTCAAAAAAGAATTCTGAGACTAGAAAGGGGCCTCTGCGATATTATGCCATAAATAGGACTCAACCTGAATGATTCCAGACAGACAAGAATCAGTACCATTTTTTTCAGTTCCACGTAAAAAGGCCACCAAAATAAATAAATGCCACAAATAACTTCAGACATCTAGCTTAGTGCTTAACTTCTCAACACTGTTTTTTAAATGATTAATATAAGTCTTTTATATTACAGTTTAAAATCTTTCAAGTCTTCTCTTTAGGAGAACAGCTAGTTGCCAACTGTAATTCCATAAACTCTTGTACAATAGAACCCTTTCTAATGCTGGCTCCTTGATAGCAAACTAGTAGGCTGCCCTTGTTGTGTAAGAGTTTTTACTGTATGCTACTTACCATGCTATTTATAATTTAGCACTTATGCTATTGTCATTTAATTTAGATGGTGTGGTTAGATTTATGTGTAATAAAGAACCACGTAATAGCAGGGTGCTTCTTAATTCCGAGGCCATTTTTTGGTCACCACTCACATTTCTCAGGCTGGAGAATACAGGAAGTTTTTTCCCCCTCAGTGTTTGAAGCATCTTTATACTCTCTAATGATCCCTATGAACATAGGACCCCTGTGACGGGGGGTGAATTTTTGGGAAATCCCAATTGCAGGACTTCCTTAGAAACTTTAAGAGGCTCCTCTCCCCCAAATCCGAGAGTCCTAAAGCTGTCATGGAATTTCGATTACTGTTGCATAGGTAACTTGACTTTGTAAAATCTGCTTTCCATTTTCTGCTATTTTCTGTCTATCTCCAAGATGTAACTGGAATTTTTGTTTTCCACAGATAGAGGCTGCTTGTTCATCTTTCCTGTCCAGTGATTCTCAGCCTCAGGTAATTCCAGAGGGAAGTGTTTTGTAATGATGTAGGCCAGTGATGGCGAACCTTTTGAGCTCGGCGTGTCAGCATTTTGAAAAACCCTAACTTAACTCTGGTGCCGTGTCACATATAGGAATTTTTTGATATTTGCAACCATAGTAAAACAAAGATTTATATTTTTGATATTTATCGTATATATTTAAATGCCATTTAACAAAGAAAAATCAACCAAAAAAATGAGTTCGCGTGTCACCTCTGACACGCATGTCATAGGTTCGCCATCACTGATGTAGGCTTTTGTGTAGTGCTGAATGCTCCATTTTCCCCCTTTGGATCTGTCATGACTTTGTGGACTTATTAAAACATGTCAACATATTAGAAATTATTACATCATCTGCAGGTAGTATTGAGAGCTAAGAGCTTATGTTGTAAAGTGCTAGGACTTTTATCTTTAAGAAAAATATATTTGCAGATAATATTCACATATTTTGGAAATTAAAATGCTAATTAAAATAATGTGCCTGTTGCTGTATTTGGGCACTGATATTCTGTCCCTCAATTGAGTTTGAAACCCATGGAGGGAGAAACTTATAGAATCAGACTTATGGAGATCAAAGTATTATTGTAACTGAAAAGTCAATTTGTGAATGTGGCCTTAGAGCTGATACCAAGTGTGTTTGCTCAAACTATCCCCAGAATTAAACTGGGTTAGACAGGGACTCGGGCCTCCCGCCAGATTCAGATTTTCTGCCATAGAACAGAGACCTGACAAGAACACCTGGCCGAAGAGCTGGCTCCCTAGGAGGAAAGGGCTGAATGAACATGCCCAATTTCCTCCCCTCAATCACCTCTTGGATCACTCACTCCTCTCCCCATGGGAAAGCGTTAAGAGGGGGTGGGGAGAGAGGAGTGTTAGTCTAACTCCTGTACATGGAAACATGAGGAATGGGATATAAGTGTGTCCTCCATACACCATCTTTGGGCACTGCTGCTTCTGTCTGCAGCTCTGAGTTAAAGTACAGCAGAGTTAGCCTTAAGTGTCTTGACTTTTTAAATCAGTATCACTTGTCTTCCAGATGGAGAAGAGGGCTCAGCAGAAGTCTGGTTTGACCCTTTCAGAGTAATCAGCTTAGTGCTTAACTAAGGGCGTACCTTGGGCTTATCTCCAAATAGTCTGGCCAAGATTCCATGTCCGTCACATTCCTTCCAGAATGTCATCCTGGCCAGTGTGGAGACAGCAGCCCTATATACTAGTAATGCTGTATTTCTTCTGCCTCAAGCCATTCCTTGGTCTGCAGAGGATCACCTGCAGGAAGTTAGAGGCATTAGATGGTAAAGCAAGACCAGGATTGTAATAGGTGACCTGTTTATGAATAACAATTCAAATTACTTTAGGAGGGTTGATCCTATATAATAAAAAGGTAATATGCAAATTGACCATCATGCCCTTGCACAAGATGGCCATCCCTATGTGGGCACAAGATGGCTGCCCAAGATGGTTGGCAGGGAAGGGCAGTTGGGGGCAACCGGGCCAGCAGGGGAGAGCAGTTGGGGGCAATTGGGCTGGCAGGGGAGCAGTTAGGCATTGATCAGGCTGGCAGGGGAGTGGTTAGGGCAGGGGTGGGCAAACTTTTTGACTCGAGGGCAACAATGGGTTCTTAAACTGGACCAGAGGGCCGGAACAAAAGCATGGATGGAGTGTTTGTGTGAACTAATATAAATTCAAAGTAAACATCATTACATAAAAGGGTACGGTCTTTTTTTTTTTTAGTTTTATTCATTTCAGACGGGCCGGATCCGGCCCTCGGGCCATAGTTTGCCCACGGCTGGGTTAGGGGGTGATCAGACTGGCAGGCAGAAGCAGTTAGGGGCAATCAGGCAGGCAGGCAGGTGAGCGGTTGGGAGCCAGCAGTCCCGGAATGTGAGAGGGATGTCCGACTGCCGGTTTAGGCCCCCAGGGGATCGGGCCTAAACCGGCAGTCAGACATCCCCCAAGGGGCCCCAGATTGGAGACAGTGCAGGCTAGGCTGAGGGACACTCCCCCCCCCCCCCCAGTGCATGAATTTTGTGCACCGGGACACTAGTAGATATATAACACATGATGGATATAGCATACAATTTAAAATTCAGGAATACCCTCAGAATCACTTTTATTTCTGCAGTAATAAAAAGACAAATTTTAAAGCACTCATCTAAACACCATCAAGTTAAACTAGGCTTTTGTTGGATTTGGATAGCGAGTACATTTTGAGGAGAGGTTGGTTAATTTACTATGGAATCTTTTACATTATACAATTTTTAAAAATCATTAATTTTCACATTAGCTATTATTTTATTTTTATGTGATTATCTGAATAGTTTTTCAAAACATTTTTACCAAATAGGAAATAAAGGATCTTAAGGCCCACACATAAAACAATAAAATATTAAAAATTTAGTCTAAAATACATCCTTAGAGAATATTGTAGCTCATTAAATAATAGCTTTGCATAAAGAGTTGCTGGAGAAAACGTAATTTGTTTTGAAACTTTTTCTGTCAAACTTCAATCTTGTTGCAAAGCCTAATCCAGCTTAGAATATGTTTTCTAAGGAGACACTCATGTGTCAGAATTTATTCTTCTTTAAATTAAGAGATACATCTTTGACAAATGACATCACTGGACAGTTTTGTCATTGTTTTATATTTTGCAGCATTTCTAGATGGGCCATAAAAAGAACTTCCAGGGATTTATGTCCAGATTTTTATGGGGGGACCTGTGTCCCCATCCCTGAAGAGAAAAAATGAGAAAGGATGTCTCAGTGTTCACACTATTTTTCCTCTCATCCAACTCCCAACCATAGGTGTAACAGTCAATACTAGTGCAACATGGGAATATCTGAAGGTCAGAAGACTTAGTCCCCAGGCCACACTCTATCAACTACTAGCCATGTGTGGTTTGGGGCACGTGACCGTCTCTTAGAACCTTACTTCTACACGTGAGACTAACACTTCCTGTCTTATATACCTCATAGCTGGATTATAAGGACAGAATAAGAATTATATATGTGAAAGTGTTTTATAATTTATTGAAGCACTATATAAACATGAGCCATTTAATATCATTCATAATTATCCCAACAATTTGCATGGAAGACAAACAAATGGAAGAGAACAGACCTCTGATGCTAGGAAGGATGCTCAGAGAAGCTGTTTCATGATTACAACTATACCCCTCACTAAAACCAACCATATTACCCATTCACTGTTGTTCAAAAGTTGAGGATATTGGTGGCCCCAAACAACCCTTTTGACAAGTCTTCTAAATTATGAGTAAATGCAGCTGGAAATCAAGCTTCACATCTTTTTTTAATGCTGCCATTGTTAACTAATTGCTAGATACCTGGCACCGTACTAAGAGCTTTACTGACATTTAATCCTTCCAAGAACTCTCTGCAGTGATGTTGTCATCCCTGATTTATGGCTGAAGAAACTGAAACTTAGAGAGGTTAGGTAGCCAGCCCAAAGTAACACAGCTAACAAAGAGTAGAAATGGAATTTGTATTGCTATAGAGCTGCAGGCTGCTCAACTCCATAGCCCCTGTTTTTAACCACTAATTATACCACCCCCCTGGTTCCAGATCCTCATTATTTCCAATGTGCATTTTTATTAAGTAATCAATTGTTTATGGTACTACTGTGCTAAATTCTGTGCAAAGCAGGTTTCGCCTCTGCTTGTCCATTTGTGCTACTCCTCACCACACCCAGCTGGCTGCTAACCACAGGGAGCCCTGCCCTACTTGTGTACTCAGATGCTTTGAAAAACCTGATCCTGGGGTGTGCAGTCAGCAGCCTGGAAGGGTGGTAACTCAGGTTAGGTGCCCCATTGACCGCTCCTTCCCCTCCAACTCCCATTGTTTTCGAGCAATTGAAGGACTTCCAAATTAGCCAATAATGAGTAATATTCAGCGAGGCTCACAGCTTTGGCCTGTAGATTCAGACTTTGCTACAAATTGGGAGCCATACTTTCTCTTTTGGCACTGCCTTCATTACTGTCAGTCATAGAACTCCATGAAATCTTAGCAAATACTGAGGACTATGTATCTGGACCACAGTGGAAGTCTTAATAAGTGCATATATACTGTACATAATTCCTTTTTTTCTTTTTTTAAAAAAATATATTTTATTGATTTTTTACAGAGAGGAAGGGAGAAGGGTAGAGAGTTAGAAACATCAATGAGTGAGAAACATCGATCAGCTGCCTCCTGCACACCCCCTACTGGGGATGTGCCCACAGCCAAGGTACATGCCCTTGACCGGTATCGAACCTGGGACACTTCAGTCCGCAGGCCGACGCTCTATCCACTGAGCCAAACCGGTTAGGGCCATAATTCCTTTTTTCTAATTGGAAGGAAGGTTTTATGTTTAAGAGCCAAGTTTTTGTCGTGAGAAAAATCAAGGGATTCCAACAGAGTTTCAGTGGGCCACCAGAAGGATTCTATTCTGGGTAGCTGGAATATCCTTGGCTCCCAATATTCTGCAGTTATATCTTCAATGCACATGTTGTTAAAATAGAAGCATAGCCTGTGTACCTTCTCATTTCCATTAGGCATCCGATGCATTGGAGGAGCTTTGCTTCACAATTATGGGGACTCTACCAAAGCCCCAGGTAAGGTTGACATAGTATTTTGTTTGTAGGCAAAAAATTGCTCAGTGATACCTTGGAATTCCCACTAGAAGAAAATACCCTATGTAGGAAACAAGCCAAGAGGAGCTTGAAGACAATAAGCTGGTTTTGGATGAGAAACAAACACTTCAATTTCTCTGATGTCTGAGGATTTAAGGTCTTATCAATGAAGTTTACAGTCATGGATTGAAAAGTTATATGTCCCCTCAAGTATGTGTTCTACCTCTGATGAGAGAAATGTGGGGTCATTGGCTTCTTTTCTCTCCTGACTCACATTAATTACAATTGGAGAACAGACGAATCTTTGTTAGAGAGAAGGATGTTAAGAATGCAAAAAATCAAACTACATTGTCAATGTCAGTTTGAAAATTATATTCTTACTGTCTTGGTTTCTTATTAAAATTACTTGATTCTTCTGGGAGAACTTTTAGTCCTGAAATGAGAATAGGTGGGAAATGGAAAAATAGCATAATGTACCAAACCTTATTTTATATTCTATATCTTACAGATGCGCTTATTTTAAAACTATCTTATTAAGGATAACACCTCAAGTTTAGAATTATATTTTTCATAATTAATTTAACCACGATCACTGGTACATTCTGACTGTCATGCCTTTCACATACAATAAATCAAAGAAACCTTGATATTTTGAAAGCATAAATATTTCCTGAAACTAAGTGTTTATGACTGGATTTGTTTCCAGTGTTTTTAATGGTCATTTTCCAAAATTTTTTCTTCTAATTAAAATAAATGACAATGGTATTTATCCATGAGTTTCCTTTTATATTAAAAGCAAATGAGGACAAAAAATAACAACAACAAAAAGGAACGATATGATTCATTCTTAGAAACAGATTTGTGGAAGGAAAGAGGAATATAGAAAAGTTTATGGAAGAAAGCAAAAATAACATAATCTTATTACTTGGTGATAACAACTACAAGTATTTTCATGTGACTCCTTCTTGTCTGTTTCACTGAATATTTTAGGCATAATCATATCCTTCCCAATGTTGAACTTGCAGGATGTTTCCAATTTTTTACTCTTATGAATAATGCTGTAGTAAAGATCTTGTACACTTTATTTATGAACAATCTTTAATTTCTCATTTATTTTTAGAGCAATATATGTTTAATCAATTTAAGTCTTATATTTTTATGTAACTTGTCATGTTTTAAAACGTATGTGACAATTTTATATTATAAATTTTATACTATATAATATATATAACATATTATAATTTTATGTTATGCATGATATAATGATATTTGTATATATTTTTTCAACAGAAAACAGATGAAAAAGTTAATAACAAAAGGGTAAGGTGATTTCCATAAATATATACATTAAAAAATAATAAAGGAAAGCACTAATCATCTATAGTAAAGCTCACTACTTATTTTTTTCTTTTTTTAATTGTTTTATTGCTTAAAGTATTACAAAGAGTATTACATATGTCTCCTTTTTCACTACTTATTTTTTAACAGTTCTTATTTCATTATTCGAAGACAGGGAAGTTGGGCAACTCAAATGTTGTGGTAAGTAGAATTACTTCTTACTAGTAACCACTGGTATTTTTTTCTAAACCTGTTTTTGCAGTTTATTTAATAGAACTAGAGCAAAATTCATTTTTTTTACTTTAAAAGTTTATACATACCTGAACAAATAGCATTCAATATTTTTATACATTTAATTTATTTTATATCTCAATAATTGCATATATATTAAAATCATTCATTCAGTCAGCCAACAATTATTTACTGAGTATCTGCTATGTGCTAATCACAATTCTATGTACTAGAAATAAAGCAGTAAGTAAAATTAAAAAAGAAATTGCTGTTATCACGGAACTTACATTCTAAAGGCAAAACCAAGTAAAACATATTATTTTAGATGGTGATTAGTACATGGGAGAAATAGTTTTATTCAAAGGCATTTTGAGGATATTAAAAGATAATTGTCAAATGCAATTCAATATAACTAGATATTATTTACTTCTATTCCTAATATCTCCTTATTTGTAATTAGACATTTAGAGTGAGAATTTACTAAGATTTGCCAGATACCAATAACTTGAATTCAGTTCACTTCTAAGTTTTGTGGTTTAGTGGTGGTTTTTCTTTTTATGCATGGATTTTAAAAATGCTAATGAACCTACTTTGGCGTTTCAGTTAGAATACTTAATAATAATTTGACTATAATATTCTTTCTAAGCTTGTGACTCACAACTATGGACCAATTTAGGGAGTGAGGAGCATCGTGTATTTTAAACATGTATATACCTGTGGAAAGGGAACTGTAATCTTAAACTCAGTTTTGAATGTTTATCACATTGAGTATTCTTACAAATTAGGAGTTGAAAGTTATGTTATACTGGCTTTAAAAACCAAATACAAGTTGAATTGGTTAACAGATAGCCTTCTATAGGGCTTAAAGTAATCCATTTGATAAGTGATTTTAATATTTGTGAGAAGGTTCAATGCAAGCCATGCTTTTAAAATGAGACTGAAGCAGGTAGCCACATGTCTCAGATGTGCTTTCATTTCCTTCTGCTTGGCATCTTTACATTTCGAGAAAATGTATCTTAGTCATATTTTTTGCTATCAACAACACATTGTGTCATTTTTTTGTGTCCCCTGTCATCTTGTTCCATATGTTGAATTTTCAATAAACTATATCATTTATAAAGGAGATTACTAGATGTGCGAACAGCATAACCTTCTAGAGAAACATTTTCATAACCAAAAACTGATTCTCCCAGAGCTGTTTTCATCTGCCCCAGATCATTGAGTAAGTCTGGAAGCAGACGCTGCTCTTTGTCAAAGATGCAGACGGGTGTTCTACTTCTTGGCAGATGATGATGGGCTGAAGCCTTCAGGAAAGTGCTTCATCAACATGATGGCAAAGATCCTAGCATAGGGCTACCAAATTTTGTTACATCTCTTGGCGTATCCTCCACAGTTCTTTGAAATGCTCACCAAAGGCCGTCTTAGATAACATCTTTCTTGTTCTGTTTTGTCTGAAGCTAGTATAGTGGGTAAAAACAGACAAATAGGAGACCGTCTTTATGCCCAGTGCTGAGAAGCCTTTGTGCTCATTGTGTGTGTGTTCGTGTCTCTCAGTCGTCTGTCGTGCATCCGTTGCTGCAGCTCGTTCCTCAACTGCATGAGAGAAGAATGAAGAGATTCAAATTGAACGTATGTAACACAAACTGCATGCTTGCTTTGCCATTCTGTGCGGGGCAGCCCTTCTGATAATTCCCAGGTGTGGTGTTTTATAAAGATACTCTTCTTCAGGATAAGCCACGCAGAAACACCCAGGTAGCCTAAGAGCATCTGTTTGCCTAACCGTTCTCATACTCCGAAAGAAAACAGGTATTTTCCTTCCCCCTAGTATGGCCCTTCTGTCTCAAGCTATGTGCAGGAGGAAAGCTGGGGTTAGATTCCCTTCCAAGGATCACGACCCTCCCGGTGAGGAAGCCTGTTCTGGGTTTAAGAAAGGACACAGCCAGGCCCTGGCCAGGTAGCTCAGTTGGTTAGCATGTGTTCCCGGTATACCAAGGTTGTGGGTTTGGTCCCAGATAAGGGCACATATAAGAATCAACCAATGGCCCTGACCGGTTTGGCTCAGTGGATAGAGCATCAGTCTGCGGACTCAAGGGTCCCGGGTTTGATTCCAGTCAAGGCCATGTACCTTGGTTGCGGGCACATCCCCAGTGGGGAGTGTGCAGGAGGCAGCGGATCGATGACATCAATGTTTCTCTCTCATCGATGTTTCTAACTCTCTCTCCCTCTCCCTTCCTCTCTGTAAAAAATCAATAAAATATATTAAAAAAAAAAAAAGAATCAACCAATGAATGCATAAATAAGTGGAACAACAAATTGATCTCTCACTCTCTCATCAATTTTTAAAAAAAGAAAGGACACATCCACTGTGGCTAGTCAGTAGACGGGGAACAGAAAAAAGAAAAAACTACAATTTACTGCCCTTCTGTATACAAGTTGGCTACTGACTGGGATGGCAATGTTTCTAAAGTGTTAGTAAAAGTTACACTTTAGAGCTCAAGAAATAAATATATCAGAAACTAATTGTAGGTGTGTTTTGTTTTTCCCACAATTAACAAAAAATGGCCCTAAATCGGTACCTGTGTTTAAGATAAATCTAGCTTTGTTAACAGCTTTTTAAACTAGAAATTGAGGAGTTTATATTGTTATTTAAAAAGAATGTTATCTCTTTCAATGATGAAAGTTTCTAGGTATTATTTTTAAGTAATGCCTTACATTGTTAAAATGCGTTATAGTTTTTAGTCTTCTCTTATTTTATTCTTTTGGTAACTCTGTTGGCACTTCTGTAAGTATTGTTATCCTCAGTTTACTAAAGGGAAAACAATTCGGAACAGTTAAAGGTGTTTCCCAAGATCATTCTAGTAAGTGAGATTAGAAATTCCAATAGATTCTTCTGACTTCTAGTCTTGGCAAATATTTTTCTTTTCACTATGCCATTTCCTTTATAGTCTACTCTTGGTATACTTCTTTTATTTTATTTTATATTTTCCCTTAATTTAAATGCCATCTTAATTTTATTCTTCTTAAATGTACTACTGAAAGTCTTCAAATACTTTTCAAACATCCATACAGTTTAGGCAAATACATTTCTCAAAATTTAGTTTTATGGTCACTATTTCCTCCCTAAATTCTTCACTTTCTTAAACTTAGCTTCCATCAAGGAAGATAGCAGCTGCCACCTGCTTAAAAAGAAATGTAAAAGGAACTGTGATAGCCTTTAAAATTACAGAATTTCCAGTGTGGAAAGAATCAAATCAGTTGTTATCAAGCTTTCTAGAAGTAAGAGGTGCTTTTAAAAATTAACTTTTAGCCCTAACCGGTTTGGCTCAGTGGATAGAGCGTCGGCCTGTGGACTGAAGGGTCCCAGGTTCGATACCGGTCAAGGGCATGTATCTTGGTTGCGAGCACATCCCCAGTAGGAGATGTGCAGGAGGCAGCTGATCGATGTTTCTCTCTCATCGATGTTTCTAACTCTCTATCCCTCTCCCTTCCTCTCTGTGGAAAAAATCAATAAAGTATATATTTAAAAAAAATTAACTTCTACTCTCTGAAGCTTGCTTAACTTATGATTAGTGTAAGATTTCAATTTAAGGATTCAGTTTCTTAAAATATATCAACAAATTGTGAGTTTACAATATCACTTCAGACTATATTTCCAGACAACTACCTAAAACTATAAACTGTGACTTGGTAGTATATTCTGTTGGACTAATATAACCCCTATATTGCAGCAAGACAAGTTTCCTAAGACCCTATGAAAGAAAAGAATGTAAAACATACATAGAAAAAAATTACAGTAGTGTTAGCTTTGCTGGGCCTAAGGTGCCTAATTTTAAAACATATTTTTTAAGTGAAGTATTTTGGGTTCTTAAAGAAAATGAGTTTTCAGAGCCTAGTACATTCCAACACTTTTCTTAAAATTTGTTTGCTAGACATCCTCACTTCCATCCCTATATCTCTTTTACCCCTACCTCCCAAATTATTTTATATACTGCTCTTTCTTCAATGATAAGACTAAAATCCAAACCTGTATGTTTGGATTTGAGAGTTTTAAATTTTAGCACATTTTAAGTTACATTTTGCCCTTGTAAAAAATATAATAGTATAAATGTATAGTTTCAATGTGTACATTTTTAAATAGAAAAAATTCAATCTTTTAAGTATTTTGAGTGAATTTAGTCAAGATGAGAATTAGATATAAATATTGAAAATGTAAGATATGTTTGTTGTAAAGCAGGGATTTCAGAATTTTAATAGATGTCAGAGCTATTTCATAGAATTTTAAAAATATGAATTTACTTATATTATGGAATAATTTAAAAAAGGTCTTGTTGACATATTTCCTAGTGAATGCCATCCTGATACTTTTATAGTAAGTAGTTGATGAAAATAGGAAGCTATGAAAACCAATTTTATGGAAGCCATAAAATGTTAAATATTTTTCCCGTTAAGTTTAAAAAGAAATGTTTTAGAAAAGAAACACTTCTCAATATACCCATTATGAATAATTGGTTTATTCCTATTTTATTTTTTATTGCCATTTTTATAAAAAGAATTATATTGGGAAAATCTCTTCTTAAGTCTCATTGAATAAATATAGTTTACCACAGTTGACTCTCAATTTCTATATAAATTCCTATAACAATATTGTGTATTTCAGCCCTAACAATTTTATTGTATATTTTTCCTTGTTGTTGTGTTAACACATACAATATGTATGTTAAAGAAATTATTTTGTTCTAACAAAATGCTGAAAGGAAATTTTACTTTCATTACAGTTCATTATAAAGTGTCTGTCATTTCTCTTTCTACTTATTGACGAAAATACATTGTGACAAACTTCCTGAAAATAGAATCTTTATATTAATAAGGACATTATTTTAAAATACAACATTCTGTTGTACTGCTAGTTGTTGAAAATTCTTCAAGTATAAATACAAAGATTAACTATTGTTATAAATTATATACTCAAGTCCTTGATTCCCTCTTTGTTTAATCATGATAGTTGTAAATAACTTTGAGCTTCACTAAACTCTCAAGAGGAATTTGCACTTATTTCTCCTGTTATTTGATTTGGAATGTCCTCATTTTGTCTTCCAGGGAGAATTTCAAGGTCCTATTGCAAGCCATAATCGAAGATACTTTTTATTCAGGGTATGCATGTATTGTATTTTTTTAAAAAATCAATTAATATCAAAATTGAAAAATACTCTCACTGTGCATTTATTTGCATTAACTCATAAGTTTTATTTGAGTTTTAAAGTTTATTTATAGATATTTGACATCCAGTGTCATAGTCTGAGGTTTACTTCTTTTACCAACTTATTTATTGCTTTAATGCTATGGCATGTGTGGCCTCTAATCCACTACTCATGTTTGTAAATACTCCAGGTGACATTCACCTATTGCTCAGTTTAGTTCCATAAAATTTCATGGGCAGGAAATGAGTGTCTTAAAGATGTATTACTCCTTAAGTTCTAAGGACTCATTTACTAAATGTTTTATTCAGTAGATTGGGAGAGTTATGACTATTTTCATCCACTTTTAAAAGTAAAAGAATCAACTACAATAGAGCGTATAAATAGACAAATCTTTGTCATTGTAGTTAGTATTTTGTATGTCCAAATTGTCTATTAAGTATGAGTCTAGGCTGCTTTCTATTAAAATTAGCTTCCTTCCTTAGTTACACTGATTTATTGCTAATTTGTTATTTTCTAGCCACGCAATGGAAAAAGATCAGAAGATTACATTTAAAATGGTATGTGTTTCACAATTCAACCCAGTTGGAAAATTTCGGTTGTTTTCAGATACCCACAAATGAAACTATTTGCAATATATTTCTATTATTTGATTGCATGTATACATTAATATTCCTATATAAGTACTGTCATTATAGGATCTGTGAGGGCTATCTGATGGAAAATGTCAGTATTTTAGGGCCAAATTTGCTTCTACCATGTCGCGTATTCCTCAGGCTGTGCACAATATTCATTATCATTGATTATGTAGACAGTGACCGCACCGACATTTGTTGTGCAAGTACATGTAAGAGATTGTGTTCTTATTTTGGCAATTAGTATTCAATGTAATGGGTCAGAACTTACAGAATAAATGTACTTCTGTTGTCCAAATGATTCATATTCAAAGATTCTTTTTTAAATCATTTTTATTTTTCAAGTATAGTTTTTCTACAGAATAACTAAATGTGAAAGACATGAAAGCATGACTTTTACTTTGGGACTCCCGGTTCCCACTCCAATGCTGGAGATGCAGTAGACACTTACTGGTAGAGGCTATTGAATTGCCCTGCCTGTTTAATAAATATGGTAATCCTAATGTCTTATTATGCTATGACTTTTGAAATCAACCCAAATGCAGATTGATAAATTTATACCACAGAAATAAAAGTATGTTCTACTACTACTTTATGTAATCCTAAATGCAGATTCTATGCTGAACATATTTTTGCAAATATTTCATCCATATCATTTATCTCAACCCTTAATACATATTTAGCTGTAGAGTGCTAAAATTCTTATTTTCTCAAAAAAATCCCCCAAATAAAAATGCACTACTTCTAACCAAAGAAGACATCAACACAAATTATACAATATTTAGAAAATAAAGATAATGAAAACAATGAATATTAAAACTTATGGGACTCTGCCAAAGCCATATTTGGTGGAAAATTCAAGACTTTAAACACTCTCAAGCAAGAAAGAATGACTGAATTAAGGATTTAACTCAATAAGTTAAAAAAGAACAAGTTGAACCTTAAGAAAGCAAACTAAATAAAACTATAAATGAAAGATCAAATTAATAAAGTGTAAAGTGGAAGAATAGGTTAATAAAGCAAATTATCTGATTATTTAAAAAAAATAAAGCTAGTTTAATTAGCCTAGCCTAATTAAGAAAAATGGAGAAACCATAAATATACAAAACTACAAGTGAAAAGAGAAAAATTATAACATATGAAAGAAATGGATATTATAAAAGAGTACTTGACAAATCTCTGTGCCTACCTATTTAGAAACCTGCATAAAATAAAGGGTTGTCAGTAAAGTAGGTGTTACCAAAATTCACTTTAGAAGAAAGAAAAAAACTAAACAGACTAATGGCCATGGAAAAAAAATGAAAACATTATCCAGAAACGCTCCCTTCAAAAAGTCCAAGGCCAGCAGATTCTGAATTTTTCCAGCTCAGAGAAGAAAGAAAAATCTCAAAATATTTTTTGTAATGTCAACCATGTTTTTTTAAATGAAGCTTATACCCAAATCTTACAAAAGTAGTATAAAAAAGGAAACTGTGGGTGGTGAAGGCCTGGGGTGGGAGGCGGGTTAATGGGAGAAGTAAGGGGACATATGTAATACATTCAACAATAAAGATTTGTTTTTTGTTTTTTTAAAAAAGGAAACTAAAGGTCAAAATTATATATAAATTTTAATGCAAAATTTAAAAGAAATATTAGTGAACCATATTCAGCAGAATATTTAAAGAATTTCATGACCCGAAGTTTGTTCCAGCAACTCAGGATGGTTCGACACTAGGGAGTCTATTAAAATATTTTCACCATTAGAAGAAAATTATATGATTATCTCAATAGATGCTTTTGGTAAAATTCCACATCAATTTCTGATGTATTAAAAGAAGAAAGAGAGGAATTTTCACATTATAGATATAATGGTTTCAAACAAAGTTAGTACAGGCTTGATAGTAAAACACTTTGGAACGTTTTCATTAATGTCAGGAATAACGCAAGGATGCTCTGTTACCTTTTATTTAATGTGGTTCTTATGCATTAGTCAATTCAGTTGGACAAGAAAAAAATAAAACATAAATATAATAAAAGTAAAGGAAAAATTTAACGTGATCAAGGGGCGTAGTTAGGAACTTAGATTTTCAAACTATTTCTGGCATTAACTCCTATTTCAACAAAGGCCTGTTATGTTCCTATCAGAAATATGAGCCAACATATTCTTACTTTTTCTTTTTTCAAGGAAATAAGAACAAAGAGTTATGGAAAAGAAACTATCTTTCATAATACTTTACAATTGTAGAGGCATTTACATAATGTAAACAAAAATAGTTTAATACTTAATGGAAAAAATCTGTGATTGTAACATCAAAGTAAGTATTAGCGTGCTCACAAATGTGAAATAGAATTTATTCTATGATTTGATCAATTTAGTAGAATATTCTCTCTGAAGCTGAGAAAAATAGCTTTATCTGGATTGCTTCCAAAATTCAGGTTTACACAGACTAATTCACCCAGGATTTCATTTTATTTTGTCAATAAAAAAACAATTCAATAATTACTTTTTCTTTGTTTTTCTCATCTGATTATCTGAAGTCTTAAACTTTGTCCTGAACACTTATATTTACTTATAAAGTAGTTACACATATACGGGAAGATTTAACTGCAAATACATAAGGAAATAAATGCACAAGGAACAACTGTGCAACTTTTGAAATATTTTATTCATAAACTGTTGATATCAGTGAGCTTTATGAAGCCACTTTTATATAGTTAAATACTGGAAATTTTTGGGAAATACAGACATACAGAGTAAATGTTCCAGCGAAGAGAGATTAGAAAGATTAAATGATATCTAAAAATATATAAACTGAAGAAAAGCTGAGAAATACCTCGTGTCAGTTTTATCATACATGACAAAATATTTATAGGAACATCTATATACAAACATTATATACACATTTACATACTCATTTATACTTCAATCTAAATTCAATTTTTCTCTTTTTACAGAATACCAACTATTTTCCATAGAAGAAATGCCATGGAATGCAAAATATACTGGTATTTTGTGTGTTTTCTTTTCTCAAAAGCAATCCTTGCTAAGTTTAACATGTTTGAGAATATCTGTGTTGTAAACATTCTCAGTAAAAGTCTATTGAGATTATAAATGTCTAATTTGTTGAACATTAAAAGAGCATCTTAAAATATCTTTTCTTAAGTGTTGTAATGATAGTGTACAAGAAAGCTGTAAAAATGATGTTCCTTTGATCCCTGCAGCTTTTGACAGTACTGATACCCATGCCCTTTTGTTATTTTTATTAAAAGCACTCAGTAGAGAGTTGAGTTTTAATGAGCTATTTTAGTTTATCCTATTTGGATTTTGTCAGTAACAAATTCACCAGCTCTTATAAATACCAGAATGCCCAATAGCCAACAATCTTAAGACTGTGAATACCAAATAAACCTGTTGGAGGAATACCAACTAAACCTATTGGGGAATTTGGCCATGATCCATCCAATAGTCCAATAAGCAAGTTCTGATTTATAGTATGTAAAATTGACATCTGATTGCTACAAACCTATTGAGGGACTAGCTTTTTCTACCAACTAGTAGTATTCACTTTATCTTAATATAAGTTATTTTATCTTGCAACATCTAAAAGGCAACCAGTCTTGTCCATTATCAGAAAGAAAACAGTCTTCCTAGTAGAGGATCATGGATATACTGTTAGAACTTTTTACATCAAATCAGTGTTTGGTGGACACAGAATTAACCTCAGATGTTGAGATTATCTCCCTTCAGGTTCCCTTGGGTTTTTCCTTTTTGACACTCGACCCTTGAATAACCACCTACTCCACCAAGCAGGTTGCTGGCTGATGACAGAAGGGTACCTCTGACTAGATAGGATTAGGTATTATATTCATCAGAGCAGAGTATCTTGGTTAATGTTGACCACTGACTATAGTTTAAATTATGCCTTATACTAGTCAAGTCCCTGAATTTCACTTCTTCTCAATCTGTATGAAGAACATAGGTAAAGAATGGAGCAGAATAGGACAAAAAGTACATTCATCTTTGAAAAATGATTTGCTTTGATAAGCTGGGGACTTGAAAGCAGAGAGGGCCTCCTGCTGTAAAGCAACAGACGCATAGGTAGTGATATGCATAGTAATCAACTAGCATGAATTTTGGATTGTTAAAATAAGAAAACAGAGTGGGCCTTAGCTGGTTTGGCTCATTGGATAGAGCATCCGCCTGTGGACTAAAGGGTCCTGGGTTCAATTCCGGTCAAGCCACATGCTCAGGTTGCCTATTTAACCCCCAGTAGTGGACATGCAGGAGACAGCCGATGAATGATTCTCATCATTGATGTTTCTATCTCTCTCTCCCTCTCTCTCTTTGAAATCAATAAAAAATATATTAAAATTAAAAAAAGGAGTGGAACACTAATTTAACCAGCAGTTCCCAGGGCCTCTCAGAAATCCGGAGACTTAGGCCATTGACATGTTTTAGGGCTCACATGATATTAAAATAAAGAAGAAGAAATACCAAAACATAATTACAAAAATTGTGAGATGTTTTAAAATATTTTATATTTAACACATTAATATCTTACAAACACCACAAAACACATAGGCTACGGGGAGTATAGCACTTTTATTAAGTATTAATTGAGCACTACAGATGTTAAACTATCCCAGTTTAACATTGCGTCCTTAAAAACATCTTTTTTTCTTTTCTCCAGATCTTATCAGAATATCTCTGTGACCATTTGTATATGAGCTTATTTGGCAGTAACATCAAATGTTTATCCCGTGATCCTGGCAGCTCCTAGTAAACATTTTCTTAACCTAAACACCAAGGAACCCAACTATCTGGGTTTCCTACCTAAAGCCAGACCTTCTGTCTCCTAGTGCCCTGGGTTTTTAAGATGGGGGTGAAGAGTCATTTGGGAATCTGATGAAAGCTCTGGTCCTTAACTCCGCACACACCCTCTCCCCCCAAATTGTACACATACAACAAAAATTTTGTGTACAATTGGGGCTTGGGGACTAGGTACCCTGTAAAATCCATCCAAACAGACTATGCCAGCAGTGATGGCGAACCTATGACACGCGTGTCAGAGGTGACACGGAAACTCATTTTTTTTGGTTGATTTTTCTTTGTTAAATGGCATTTAAATATATAAAATAAATATCAAAAATATAAGTCTTTGTTTTACTATGGTTGCAAATATCAAAAAATTTCTACATGTGACACGACACCAGAGTTAAGTTAGGGTTTTTCAAAATGCTGACACACCGAGCTCAAAAGGTTCGCCATCACTGGACTATGGGCTCTTAGTTAAGAACTTCTCCTTTGAAGGGTTCTCTCCCCAGGATTTTATTATTACTCCATGAGGACATGACTCGGGGATTGAAGGGTGTCGGAGGGCTCAGAAACAACGCATTGATTTGGTGGCGGTGTGCAGAAGGGTGGGAGGCATGCCAGTCCTCAGGACCACGTGGTGAACAGGAAAGGCCCAGCTGGGGATAAATACCCCAGCACTGGATGCGTCAGCGCCCACACCACCCCTAGACCCCGCCTCCGCGTTGCCTGGCAACAGCTGCGCTGGAGGCAGGTGAGTCAACGTGCCCTGGAGCGCTCGCGGTCCCCTCCCGCTCGGGGTGGCGGTGGGAACCGCTGTCCCGGCTGCTGGCTCTCTTCGCCCCCAGCCCCGGAGGAGGCGTCCCAGTCAGGAGTCCCTCGCCAGGGGTCTGAGGTCGCCGTCACCTGAAGGTCGAGGCTGAACGTCATGCAGGTCGGAGTCCCAGCCGCCGGCCACTCCGGGGCACCGGCCGAGCTCCCGGCTGGGCTTGAGGCTGAGCGTCCGAGGGGAGGGCGGCGCACCGGGGCTGGGGCCTAAGGTTTATCTTTGGTAAGAGCTAAATTTTGCGTGAGTCTCTAGATTTGAGAGACATCCAAATTAACTCTAGGAGAGCACCATTTTTTCTCCAAGGTTTGTCGCTGGGGGGTAGTTGTTTGAGATTGTGTTTCACACCTGAATCTTGGAAATCTCACTGCTGCACGATTTCTGACTTAAGAAATAGACCAGCAGCTTTAGCCCAAGTGTAATTCAATTTAAATATTCTGCCCCACTACCTTAAACAACCATCGGAACGAAAATACTGGTTGCATCTATCTTGAAAAAGACCAGGTGTCCCTGAAGTTTCTCCTACCCGGTCACAGAAGCTCTGTTAGGCTTCCATTGATCCCTTAGGTCCCGAGGCTGCTCCGCTCTGTCTAAAGACCCTTATTAACCAGGTGCCTGTGCTCTTGTTTTTTTATTAGAGTAAAATTCTCACTTTCTGACTTGGAGAAACAGCTTCTTCCCACCTGCTTCTCCAAATTAAAACTGTGATTTTTCTTGTTTTGCATATTTAATTTCGGCATTCATATATACCACCTAATTTATTAGGATATTTTAAACATAAACTACACATAAATTTAATGGATAGCCCTTTTGTGTTACTTATAGGTTTCTAGCAAGTACATTTTATCCAGTGTATGAAGACATTTCCATACACTGAAGTAAGTAACCCAAAGGGAAATTAAGAAAATGATTCCATGTATGATCACATCAAAAAGAATAAAATCCTTAGGAATAAATGTAATCAAGGAGGCAAAAGAATTGTACACCGAACACTACAAAACATTGCTAGAAAGACATTAAAGAAGACATAACTAGAAAAACATCACACCTTTGTAAATTGGAAGACATAATATGGTTAAGATGTCAAAACTTTCCAAAGCAATCTACAAATTCAGTGTAATCTCTATCAAAATAAAGTCCTAATAAAAAATTGTTGTTGTGTTATTTTGGCTGTAAATGAAGAATTTGCTTAAACTCTGGTGGCGGATATTGTTAACAGGGGAGGCTATGCATTTGTGGGGACAGAAAGTATACGGGAAATCTCTGTACCTTTCCCTCAATTTTGCTGTGAACCTAAAACTGCCCTAAAATATTAAGTCTTAATTTAAATTTTTAAAAATAAAATATAAAATGGACAAAAAACTTGAATAGACATCTCTCCAAAGAAGATATACAATGGCTAATATAAACATAAAACATGCTCAATATCACTAATCATTAGAGAAATGTAAGTAAAAACCACCATGAGAGACCACACCCATTCGAAAAACTATTATTAAAAACAGAAAATGACAAGTGTTGGTGAGAATATGAAGGAATTGGAACCCTTGTGCATTGCTGGTAGGATTGTAAAATGGTGTAACTGCTATGGAAAATGGTCATTCCTTTAAAAATTATACATAGTATTATATGAACCAGCAATCCGACTCCTAGGTATATTCTCAAAAGAATTGAAAGCAGGAACTCAAAAAGATATTTTATGCATAAGATCATAACAGCATTATTCACATTAGCCAGGTGGAAACAGCCTAAATGTTCATCATTGGATGACAAGAAAAACAATCTATGGTGTGAACACACAATGGAATATTATTCAGCCCTAGAACAGAAGGAAATTTTGATACATGCTTCAACATGGATGATCTTTGAAAAAATTATGTGAAGTGAAGCCAGTAACAAAAGGACAAATATAGACATGTGCTGCAAAATGACCTTTTGGGTCAACAATGGACTGCATAAATAATGGTGGTCCCATAAGATTATAATGGAGATGAATTCCCTGTAAGAAATGGAAAGATATGGTTCAAGAGGAATTTTTTTTTTTCTGATGAGAACGATATCTGGGAACTTGGCAATAGATTTCCTCTCACTGCAGCTCAATTTTGAGTGTGCAGTTTACCTCCCAATCAACTACTGGCCTGTTTCAGCATAGAGGAGCCTATCTCCCTAGGACTACATATTCAGAGGGTTCTACAGTCCTCTCAGATCTAGCTTGATGGTCTTCAGAGTACACTGCTGTAATTCTTTGTTGAGGAACTAAAATCCTATACAAGGACACAGGTCCACAGGAACCATTATAAGTATTAAGTGCTGCTGCCACTTTAGTACAAGCTTTCTGTGGTAGTGTGGAGCCAGCCTGTTCCTATACTTCGGAAATATTTTCAGATTGTATTGATGCAAAGCATGCGTTTCATTTCTTCCATCGATTCAATGCTAGAGAGAGCCATTTTTTTGCCAGATAGGGTCAATGGAACCAAAAACAAATTTCCAAAGTCAAACTATGAGTCTTCAGTTCTACATCCTTTCCATGTTAAATACCCTCTTTTTAAAAAATGAATACCACAAAGTTCATTAATCTGACTTCTGCTCCAACATGCATAGCCAAAACCACATTTGCTACAGCAATCCCTTATGCTCCTTGATTTCTTATTTCTACTACTAGAGGCCCAGTGCATGAATTCATGCATAGGTGAGGTCCCCGGCTGATCAGGGCCTGGCCGGCTGCGGGAGGGGCCATGGGTGATTGGCTGGCGGGCCCTGCCCCCAATTGGGGTTGGGGGCCAATTGGGGGTGGGACTTGCCATGGGGAGGGGCTATGGTTGGTGGGCCAGCCAGCCCTGCCCCCAAATGGGGTGAGGGGTGCCGATGGGGGGTGGGGGGCAGTGGCCTGGGGGAGGGGCTGTGGGCCAATCAGGGTGGTGGGGTCCCATAGGGAGTGGGGCCGGCTGGGGGAGGGACTGTGGGAGATTGACTGGGTCCCCTGCCCCCTATTGGGGTGGGGAGGGGTGATCAGGGGTGGGGCAGCCAGGGGGAGGGGCTGCAGGAGGTTGGCCAGCCAGTCACGCCCCCTATTGGGGTGGGGGTGCGATCAGGGGTGGGGCCAGCCAGGGGGAGAGTCTGTGGGCCTACCATGGTGGGGCCCGCGATTGAGGGCGGGGCTGGCAGGGAAAAGTGTGTGTGGGGGGGGGCATTTGGCCGGCCCTCCACGCCCTTAATCGGGGTGGGAGAGTCCGATCAGGGGCAGGCCAGCCAGGGGAGGGGCTGCTGGAGGTTTGCTGGCCGGCCCCAGCCCCTGATCAGGCCCGTTCCCTGGCCACAGTGGGCGTCATAGCGACCAGTCATTACGGCGTTATGGTCGCTGGCTTGTTATATACATAGATTCCTCAAAGCATCATATACTCCCTCCTGACAGGCACCATTATGGTAATCTAAACCTTAGCCAACCAGTTTCTCTTAAATATTTCCCATCAGTCCAGCCCACATCCCTGTTCATGGAGCAGCACTGGCAGCTTCATTGTCCTATTTCTGACCCTGTTGGAAGGAAGGAGGGGTGGGCTTATGGGACCACGTTTATAAAATCTACAGTAATGGTCAGCAATGGCAAATTGCTTCATCAAAGCCAGCAAGTGATAGCGAGTGCTGGCAAGATAGAAGTTACAGTCTCTGGAATTCAATCACAGAAATGGCATTCCTTCACTTTTGCCACATTCTATTGGTTAACAGCATGCACAGTTCCCACCCATCATCAAGGAGAGGAGATTACTCAGGGATGTGAATAGCAGAAGGTGGAGCTCATTCAGGTGATCTTATACTTTGTTTGCCACAGTATTCACTCCCTACTTTTGGAACTATCAGAAAAAAAAATGGATGGCTAACTAGAGAAACAATAGTTAATGATTGACAACTTCTGGAAAAGCAGGGAAAGAAATAAAATCCTAAGTAATAAAGAAAAAAAAAAGGCTAACTTTCATAGAAAGAAATTGTGATTAGACAGAAATGGAACTATAAAAAGATTCCTGGCCTCTTCTAAGATTTAACCAGAGAATATGGATCCTAAGAAACTGTATAGCTGAAAAGAGAAGCGAGTTCACCTGGAGGTCTTGAATGTGTATGTAGAAATAGCAACAAAACAGTATTTGTTCATGGTGTGAATTGGTTTTGTCTACTATATTCACCAGAGAATATTCCTTCACTTTTTGAGTTTACTTCATTAATATTTGATGTGTTCTAAATTATTGTTTGTTTTTATTAAACACCTCAGTGTAATTTTGAGGGTAGAGAATGTATCCTGTTTATCAAACTATGTAGTTCCATTAGTTCTGGGAAATGAGAAAAAGTAGGCCGCTTTGTTTGTCTTTGAAACTAGTTATATGTTTACCTGTAGAACTCAGTGCATAGTTGGAAATGCTACATATTAATTTTATACATAATAAAATGCACAACTATGTTAATAGATTTTCTATTTTTATATAGGATCCAAATGAAGATACAGAATGGAATGAAATTTTAAGAGATTTTGGCATTCTTCCTCCAAAAGAAGAGCCAAAAGATGAAATTGAAGAAATGGTTTTACGTTTGCAGAAAGAAGCAATGGGTATAGTTGTGCATTTGGTGGGCTGGATGAAGGGGGTAATACAGTTATGTCACTGATAGTGTATTTCGTGGATTTCAAGGGAGAGAGGACATTAGAAATCATTTAGTATGTCCCACCATACTTTGCTGATACCTAAAATTCTTAATTCATGTGTTAAAAATTCACATGCCAGTTAATAACAGAACTGAAATGTCCTGGTATCTAACCTAGTGAGCTTTTTTTTCTCTAGATCATAATTTTTTACCATGTGATTACCTTATATTTTGATTATTCTATATAGCATATATTATTTGTCAAGATTTCCTGGAACATGGGAAAATCTAAATTTCTGAGGTCTAATTTATTTTTACATCTACTTTTATTTTTTAAAATATATTTTATTGATTTTTTTACAGAGAAGAAGGGAGAGGAACAGAGAGTTAGAAGCATCGATGAGAGAGAAATATCAGTCAGCTGCCTCCTGCACACCCCCTACTGGGGATGTGCCCACAACCAAGATACATGGCCTTGACCGGAATCGAACCTGGGACCCTTGAGTCCGCAGGCTGACACTCTATCTACTGAGCCAAACCAGTTAGGGCTTTACATCTACTTTTAAATGTAGCCTGGTAGTTCTGTGAACTCTGAGGGAGTAATAATATTTAAACAAAACTAAAGCAGTCAACCACAAAATAGCTTTATATATTGCAAACACTGCAACATTAAAGATAGTCTTGATCTTCACTTATCTAATATATATTTTTTCTAGACATGTGACTATAAAGTAAAATTAATATTTAAACAATTCAACTGCCTACAATTTATGTTGTTTTAGTTAAACCGTATGAAAAGATGACTCTTGCACAGTTGAAGGAGGCTGAAGATGAATTTGATGATGAAGATATGAGAGCTATTGAAACATATAGGTACAGTGATTCATTGGGGTAATTTATGAGTTTTGGAATGAAGAATTGTAAAAATGAAACTAAGATAAAGCCCTATTTTGTCTACAGAATAGATTTAAAAAATAACAAAACTAATTTTTAAGATTTTAAAACTAACATATAAAATAGAATTTTTCCTGAAATATTTTTGCCTTTGCTTGAATTAAAAACTATCCAATAATGTACCATAGGACTTCATCAAGTGATATATGAGTAAAGTGGAAAATATCAATAAGCAGCCAATAAATAGAGGGCTATGATGTTCCTTCTTTCATGATGTCTGTCAATGGTTTCTATAATTTAATAATTAATTGCCAGTCATGAATTCTCTCAGAGATTAGAGTAGGTGCATACATTACCCAACTTATCTTGATACTAAAAACGGACAAAGAGATTATAAAAATGTTATGCTAGAGGAAGATATCACTTATGAATGCAGGCACAAAAATTTAAACAAAATATTTGCAAATTAAGTCTAGCAATTTAAACAAAAATAATAAACTTTGGACAAGTAGTCCTAGGAATGCAAGGTTGTCTTAACATTAAAAAACAAAAGCAAAAACAAAAAAACAGTAAATTGTGTTAGAAGCAGCAATGTCAAGTCACAATGAACATACCTGGCACTCATAAAAATTGAACTAGTGTTCCTTGGAAAACTGCTTTATTCCACGTTGTGAGTTGTGAAAGTACAGTACACGTCTTGAGCATCTTATGGTTCCAGCAAGTAAAGAAGTGCTAAAAAAAAAAAAAAAAAAAAAAAAAAAAAGAAAAGTTTAAGGCATAGAAGCCAAACTAAAAGATCTCTCAATGACCAGAGTTGCAACAACTTGAACAACAAAAAGATAAAATATTAGATTATAAAATAAATAATAAAATAAATATCCATGAGTCCATAATGATATAAGTAATTAACTGAATACATGAACAAATTCAAAAGAAATAACACTTCTCCCTCACTAAAGAATTCCAATTAATAAGTGTATATGGAATGAGGAAAATAGAAAAATCACCATTATATCACCATAGCAATAATTCTTGATGAGCAAGATCTGCTGATAGATGCTAAAACGAGTGGATGAAATTTTAAGTAGAAGCATGGTATTTGCATAATCTCAAAGTATCTCCCCCTCCAAATATTTAGTAACTATAAGGAAATAGTAAGTTTACAATGTAGAGTTTTGGCAGATTCCATCTTAGGGAAATGATCAAGGTTAAAATCACCGATAATACATGTTGACATTAAGTAACTTGATATGATGTGCTGAAGATGACACACCACCTCTGTGGTGTCCTTTTTAATAATTAATCATCTCAATCTAATAAGAATACACCAGAAACCAAAATTTGAGGAACTTTCAAAAAACTGACCAAGTTGATGTCAGGAAAGATGGCAGAATAGAAAACTCCAGAAAGCCATCTGTTTACCTAGACAACAACTGCATTGGCTGAAAATGTCTGAAGTGACAGCGTTGGAACTCTGGAGTCTATTTGGACACTTGCAGCTTCCAAGATAAAACCTGGCTGGTAAATTGCAGTTAGTAGTGGCTGACTTCAGTCCTTAGTTGGTGATAGCTATCCATCTCTCACCCTCTCGTTCCATGGCAGGCTCCTGTTTGGACAGCAGCCTTTATTTCTGGTAAAGCTTGCTGGAGCAGGGTGGGCAATAAGGACTTTGTGTTCTGATTGTGGAGTGCTGCTTCTGAATGCAGAGGTACAGGCACAGAGTTTGGGTATCACTGTGTCAACCCCATTGGCTCAGGGGGATTCCAGAGCATTAAAGGGAGCCACCTCTATTTTTTATGGACATTAAAAAACAACCATATATATGGGGGAATTTAAATGCCTTGGAAAAGATGAAGGCTCACAGAAGATGTTATGGTTTCATCTCAGGCTGATCCCTGGCTAGAGACACCTTACAATAAGAATAAAACAAACCATGGGAAAGGAGGAGAATCTGATTTCCAGAGTTATCACATTATATGAATCAAATGTTCCGTTTCAACACAAGAATCACAAAGAAATGGGAAAGTGCGGCCCATTCAAGCTGTCTTCCAAAAGCTGTACCATTTTGCGTTCCTACCACCAGCGAATGAGAGTTCCTGCTGCTTCACATCCTCTCTGGCATTCGGTGGTGTCAGTGTTCCAGATTTTGGCCATCCTCTTTGGTGTGTAGTGGTTTCTTGATTTATTTGCATTTTCCTGAAGACATAGATGTGGAGCACCCTTTCATAGGCTTATTTGTCATCTCTGAATCTTCTTTGGTGAAGTGTCTATCAGGCCTTTGGCCTATTTTTAAGTCAGATTGTTTTCTTATTGTTGCGTTTTTAGAGTTTTCATATATTAGGGACAACAGTCCTTTGTCAGATGTGTCTTTTGTAATTTTCTCCCAGTAACTGCTAAGGAGATAGGTTCCTAGAGAGAGCAGTTGCTACAGCAGTTTTCTGATCCCCAGAGGAATTAGGTTCTAGGGCACAATTGGAACAGTAGTTCCAATTTCCCAAGTTTCTGGATTGTAGCAGAGAAACCTGTTCCCTTGGCAGACCAATTTTGCAATGTTGCTCAGGGAGTCATTTTGATAGCCCAGTTTAGAACCTCCTCCTTTCCATTGAGTTTGTAAGTCACTTAATTTCACAGATTAAGCTTCTTGCTGCTTAAAATAGCTAGGACTTTCTTCAACTGAGTCCCACCTGATATGATTGTTGGGTATAAAATGCAGGCTACTGAGCACTAAATCACTTCCTGATGGCAAAACTAACCCAGGTCTTTCTGTCTCTCCCTGCCTAATTCCATTGACATAGCAAAGAACAATGAGGAAGAGAGGTGGAAGAGGGGAGGAGAAAGAGATATAGTTGATAGTTGCACCATTAAGTAGGGAACACAAACTTTTTGAAAATTTTGAAAGATATTAAGCCAGTGAGATCAAAGTTGATATTAAATACTCAGTGCCAAAAAATCAGCTCCCAGAAGATCTTTGGAGGAACGAAATTCTGAATATCTGGGTCAGTAGAGGGAAAATGGAAGGACTTCAGTTTGAAAATTGTGAGAGGGGCCCTCCCTAGATGTGGGTCATTATTCTTGGCATTCTCCTCTAGGCTTCATTTTGCTTGGATTACTTGTTACGTAGAGTGGTTTCACCTAACATGTTTCTAATTAGTAAAATAAGGACAGAGTGTTTTAAAATATACCCAGGATTTTGTATCTATTCGTGTAGAGTGAAGCCAACAGATCAGGAGATAATTGACATTGAAAAGAGTTTTTTACTCAGAGTTCTCAAGAACAGGGGGCATGCACCACAATACAAGGCCACACAGGGAAGCACTGGAGTTAGTTGAGAGGCAGGAGTGAAGGGATGACATGGGCACCCGCCTTCGTTGTGGTTTCCATGGGAAAGACCAGCTAAGCAGGGTAAGCAGATTTAGGATTGGCTAGTTTGAATAATTTTGGCAGGCTGTGGGCTCCAGTGGCTGTCTCTAGTTGTCTGGTATCTGGCCCAGGGATAATTAGGGCAGAGGGTTAGTGGCTCAGTTTAATAAAAGAGGTGATTGAGGGATCGGGCTCTGGACTGGTCGGTTTGCATTTGAGGAATTTGCTCTCCAGCAGGAGGTTGCTATCTTTCAGAATTAGCTAGACCTGGGAGGGATAGTCTGTCCAGGATCAGCAAAGGCAAGAATACAGAAAATAAGAAAATATAGTTAATACACAGAAAGAAGGGAAGAAAGTGTTCCCAAGATAACTTAGGGATATAGAATCGGTAACTTTTAAGACATTTGCACATCAGAAAACATTTAGATCTGCTTCATGAATCTGAGCATTCAACAACTGAATCCGAGTGTGTAAATTTTGAGAATTGATTAAGAAAGCTTTAAGGCTCCCTGTGGATGAATAACTAGGTAACATGGAATGCTCACTGTGTGCTAGGCACCATCCTAAGAAATTTACCTGTATTATCTCATTCAATTCCCAACAACCCCATGCAAGTAGGTATTGGTATTATTCTCATTGCAAAAGCTTAGAGAAATCAAATAACTTGCCCAAATTCATGCTGCTGGTAACTAGGAACTGGTATTTAAACCTAGTCTAGTCTCACCGTAGAGTTCAAACTCATCATTCTTCTTTATCACTTCTCTACCTGTAATAAATTTTATAACAAGTAATTATACATATTCACAAAGGCTTTAGACTGAAGGTCAGTTTAGCATGATAGTTGAGAGCACATAAATAGGGATAAAAATAATATTAACTTTACACAGTTTTTTTTCAAGGACAAGTTAATGTAATGCACTTAAAATAGTGCCTGGCAACATAATAAACACTCCATAAATGTTAGCCATTGTTATGATTATTATATACAAGTATTTAACCTGTAGGGGAGAATTTGTTGGTTCAGTGTCTAAATAAACTATAGCTATGATTAAGACCTAGTCTTAAATAAAAATAAATTTAGAAGTCAGTCACTAACTTCTTACTTGCAACACTAATGACAACACAGATTTCCATATAAACAGATAAATTGGCATTATAACACCATTAATAGTTATTCTGTAATTTTTTAAGTGTTTGATATGTACTAGCATTACATTCATTACCCTAAATTATTACTGTAGATGGGAATGACCTTAAGAATATAACAATTTTATTATGTAATTTTATTTTTTTAATTAGAGAAAAGCGGTTACAGGAATGGAAAGCTCTTAAGAAAAAACAAAAATTTGGAGAGTTAATAGAAATTTCTGGAAATCAATATGTGAATGAAGTCACAAATGCAGACAAAGATGTATGGGTTATAATTCATCTATACAGGTCAAGGTAATTACCTTTTTGTAAAATATTAATATACTAATGTGTTAAGAACATATTACTGGTTTTAAGGGTTTATAAAGCATATAACAAAGACTATTCACAAAAGAAAATAAGAATATATGTATAGAGTCATTGGCTGTAGGGATTAAATTAGCTATTTTAATATATTTCCTTGTTTAATTTTAAAAACTTGTCATACTTTTTAGAAAAATAAGCATTCTTTAGCAGTTAATTTAAATAAAACATATGGAAAATTTCAAACATAGAAAAATAGATATAAGGATAAAATGAGCCCCCTAAATATTGGCCAGGTAGATTCAACGGTTAACATTTTACTATATTTGTATCATTTGCGTGTATTTACAGAATGATTTAAAAGTAAATTACATACACCATGACACTTTTAAATACTTTAGCATGCATTTTCAAAACATAAGGGCATTTTTCTATATCACCATAATACCATTTTCTCACCTAACAAAATTAACAATCATTTTTAATAGTGTCTAATATCCAGCCCTTACTCAAATTCTCCCAACTGACTTCAAAATGTCTCTTATAAATACATATATTTTTTAATTGAATCCAATCAATGCTCAGGCAGTGCATTTGAATATATCATATCTCTTGTCTCTTTTAACAGAACAATTTCCTTGCATGTCCCTGTTCCCCCAGTTAGTTTTAATGACCTAGTTGTACTAAGTATAATCCATATGTCCCCCGTCTCATCAGCCTGGTATAATGATAATTGTGAAGAGTGAACTTTCCCCAACTCTGTGCCAAAGAAGAGCTGCAACCTCCCAGTTTCACAAATCTCTCATAGAAACAGCACCTCTAGTGTTAGGTCCCAAGCCCTCTCTCTGCTTGGGCTCTAACCTGATCCAGGAACGGAGGCCGGGGCAGTAGCCCTTGTTGTCCTTATTTCATTCTCTGAATAAAAAACATCTTCTTTCTTCAGGTCCTCAGAGAACTTCTATACAGAGCAAGTTAGAGCCCTGCTGTTTACCAGCGCACCAGTTCCTCCGACAAATTTTGATAGGAATCATACCCCAAAAAGAAGACATTAATTTTACTGTAACTAAAATGCTTGGTAAATAATTTTTTAATAGTTTAAAAATAATCATTTCCCATTTATCCTATTCCACTTATCTGGCTAACCCAATTTGGAGATTTGCTGATGTGGGCCCTTCACAAATAAGTATATGAAATAGCAACATTTACAGTACTAAGATTTATGTGTCGTAAATGTTATATACTGAAGTGGTACACCGAATGTTTCTCCTGAAACCCATTATGATAAGCAGAATAGATGTTGGTTCTGAATTACCATACCCTGGTATAAAATTATTTTAATGGTTATTTCTAGATAAATTACTGGTTTTGACCAATAATTTTCAAAAACTTATAGAAGAGGTTGAATGAGTTTTAGTGTCAGGTTTCAAACTGCCATGTGCTTTGATGGACTTAAAGTCTAAGGATACATTTTTATAATACTTTAAGTATCTGTGAGCTCAGAAGTTCTTTTGGGCAATATAATAAAGTTACGTAAAATATTAGTTTTCTTTTTTTAAAATATATTTTATTGTTTTTTTACAGAGAGGAAGGGAGAGGGATAGAGAGTTAGAAACATCAATGAGAGAGAAACATCGATCAGCTGCCTCCTGCATACCTCTTACTGGGGATGTGCCTGCAACCAAGGTACATGCCCTTTACTGGAATCGAACCTGGGACCTTTTAGTCTGCAGGCCGATGCTCTATCCACTGAGCCAAACCAGCTAGGGCATAATATTCTTTATAATAGTTATAATTTAATATTATAAAATGAAGCATAACTATTAAGTTTGTATTTCTAGCTGCCTTTTGTAACTCTAGGAGGGTAAGAGTTTGTTTTTTAACCTGGTTCCTAAGTTTTATAATTTTAATACTTTTTTGCCACTAAATTTCTAGAACTGGGCCCATTCCTTATCCAAGTGAAGACTCAGCCTACACAGAGTACCTTAGAGGGATCTAACTAACCCTGGGCCAGTGATCCTAGTGGCTCAGCTTAAAATTAGCTTTGCTTCTGATTTTATGAAATCTTACATCTGTGCCCAAATTCTGACTTTGGCGGGGTAGGAGGAGGAACTTCTGTATTATTCTTATACCTAACTGCATATCTTGAATCTCAAATACCATAACTATGCTCTTAACTTGTTTTCTGACGTTAGAGGTCTCCTTAATATTTTATAATTCTCACGAAGTTTAATTCTGGCCCCCAAGCCCCAAATCCACATTTGTTCCCCTACCACTTGCTGTCATAACTGTCTTCAAGGAGCTACTGTCTCCTTGCACCATACACAGTCTGTTATGCCATACTCTTCTTAATTCTGTACTCTTCACTGCCACCACCAGTGCCCGCCTGCCTTCTGCCATTCACACCACTCACTTCATTGTGTTTATTATACCACTGACTCAGCTCTCATTCTGATAGTAATGATAAAAGTAACCTAAACTTGATATTAGTGAATTGAGTTCACCTATTTGAGGAAAACTGAAACTTATAAAGTCAATTTATGGCAGTTTTGTTTGGAAAATTAATATTTAAGTTAGGCAGTACATGCATTTCTAATGTTACTTTTAGTAGGCCACTCACTAAAATAAAGAAGTATCTACATTTGTAGCAGGTTAGAATTATCAAAAGAATTCTGAAGTGTAAATGAAACATATAGTCATTTAACTTGTTAGCTTCTTGCTCCATAAATTGATATATAACATCAATTACCTTAAGAGTATTTCTGAAGATTTTGTAGGTGTTAGAGATGCAAAGGTATATATAAGGCATCTGTCTCTGCCATTAAAGAAATTTCAGTACACTAGAGAAGAGACAATCAAATGCAGTAATAAAGTCTTTTGTGTGCTTTGGTTGAGTTCTATAGAGTGAGGGCACTGAAGAGGGAGTAGTTAAGTTCTACCCTGGTGCTGTCCTCAAAAAATAAGAAAAAATCTCCCAAGTTTACAGAGGTGGAGGAAGTAGACAGGCTGAACTGGATATTTTAGGTGGAGTGTACAGCTTGAACAAAGGTACATAAATAAGAGACATCATCTTGCTTTGGAGTGCTTTAAGTAATATGATAGCGGGCAGAGAATAATGCTGGAGAGACAGAACATGGAGAATAATGCAGAAGCCAGAACATGGAGAACCTTGAAAACTACACTGAGGAGCCCAGACTTTATCATGAAGGCAGTGAGAGCTGCTGAAGGATTTTAAGCTTGAGGGAAGGGCAGTTGTTACACGATGAGACTTTCATACTGAGCTCCCTTTGTCAGCAGGGTCAAGGATGAATTTGGAGAACCGAGCCTGGAAACAGACCATTTAGGGCAATCTGACATAGCTCAGATAAGAAAGAAAAGGAGTAAGGCAGTGGAGAAAGAGAGGAGAGGCTAGGTATGAGATAAGGAGGTAGAACCAATCTAATCAACATTAGATGTTGTAGAAGAAAGGGAGATTTTTGGCCTGGGTGCAAGACTAAGAAAATAAAGAAGACAATGCATTATGGTATAGTTTAGATGAGAAAAGCTAAGGGAGACTCCGATGAGCAACCCATGGGCCAGTACAAAGATTAGTAAATGAATGTATGTTTGTATATGTCAGATGAAGATAAAGATTTTTTTGTGTGTGTAATTCTCTGCTTTGAAGTATTTTTTAACCTTTTGACCTCCACCCATTTCTCCCAACCTCCATCCTCCACCTCTGGCAACCACCAATCTGTTTTTTGTATCTGTGAGCTGCTTTTTGTTGTTTTGTTTTGTTTTTAGATTCCACATTTAAGAGAGATCTTAAGGTACTTGTCTTTCTTTCATATAGCATAAAGCCCTCAAGGTTTGTCCATGTTGTTGCAAATGGAAATATTTCATTCTTTTTTTATGGCTGAATAGTATTACATTGCAGTTTCTTTATTTGTTCATGAGCTGATGGACACTTAGGTTGTTTCCATATCTTGGCTATTGTAAATAATACTGCAATGAACATAGGGGTACATTTTTTTTAATCTAGTGTTTTCATTTTCTCAAATTAAAAACCCAGAAGTGGAATTGCTGAATCATATGGTAGTTCTATGTCTAATTTATGAAGAACCTCCATACTGTTTTCCATAGTGACTGTATCAAATTACATTCCCACCAACATGGTTTCCTTTTCTCCACATCCTTGCCAACACTTGTTATTTCTTGTCTTTTTTATAACAGTCATTCTAACAGGTGAAGTGATTACTCATTGTGGTTTTTATTTGCATTTCCCTGATAACTAATGATGTGGAACATCTTTTCATATGCTTGTTGGCCACCTGTATGTCTTCTATGGGAAAATACCTATTTAGATCTTTGACCCATTTTTTAATTGCTTGTTGTTGTATTTTTGCTATTGAATTGTATGAGTTCTTTATATATTTTGGATATTAGCCCCTTATCAGATATATGAGTTGAAAATATTTTCTCCTATTCAGTCGATTGACTTTTCATTTTGTTGATGGTTCTTTTGCTTTGCTTTTTAGTAGAATGTAGTCCCATTTATTTATTTGTGTTTTTGTTGTTTTTGCTTCTGGTTTCAGGTTAAAAAAAATAATTGCCAGGACCTATCAAAGAGCTTACTGCCTGTTTTCCTCGAGGAGTTCTATGGTTTTAGGTCCTATGTTCAAGTCTTTAATCCATTTTGAGTTAATTTTTGTCTAAGGTGTAAGATAGTGGTCAAATGTCATTCTTTTGCATGTGGTTGTCCAGTTTTCCCAGCACTACTTATTGAACAGATTGTCCTTTCCCCATTGTATTTTCTTGGCTGGTTGTTTTGTCATAAAATAATAGACCATATATATATGGGTTTAATTCTGGGCTCTTTATTCTGTTCCACTGTATCTGTTTTTATGCCAATACCACATTATTTTAATTACTATAGCTCTGTGGTATAGTTTTAAATCAGGGAGTGTGATGCCTCTTGCTTTGTTCTTTCTCAAGATTGCTTTGGCTATTCAGGTATTTTTTGTGGTTCTATACAAATTTTAGGATTATTTTTCCTATTTTTTTGAAAAATGTCATTGGAATTTTGATAGGTATTGCACTGAATCTGTATATTGCTTTGGGTAGTATGGACATGTTAACAAAATTGATTTTCCCAATCCATTAGCATGGAATATCTTTCCATTTATTTGCTCTTTTCTTCAATTTCCTTCATTAATGTAGTTTTCAATACATAGGTCTTTCTTCTCATTGGTTAAACTTATTTCTAGTTATTTTTTTATGCAATTGTATAAGGGATTGTTTTCTTTATCTTTCTGATAGTTTGTTAGTGTACAGAAATGCAGCAGATTTTTATATATTGATTTTGTATCCTTCAACTTTACTGAATTTCTTTTTTAGTTCTAATAGTTTTTTGATGGAGTCTTTTGGGTTTTCTACATATAATATCACCTGCAAGTAGTGATACTTCTATTTCTTTCTTTCCATTTTGGTTGCCTTCCATTTCTTTTTCTTGCCTAGTTGCTCTGGTTGGGACTTCTCATACTCTGTTGATTAAAAGTGGTGAGAGTGGGCATCCTTGTCTTATTCCTGATCTTACAGGAGAGGCTTTCAGCTTTTCACCATTGAGTAGGATGTTAGCTGTGGGCTTGTCATATATTGCCTTTATAATGTTGACATACATTTTTTTTTGCACCCACTTTGTTGAAATTTGTGAAACAAGTTTAGTAAAAATATATTGAGAATAATATATAAAATTCCTCTCCCAGACGTTGATTAGAACTTAGTGCATTTTTTACACTTAAAAATAATTTTTATTTATTTATTATTATTTTTTAATTTCTTTATTAAGGTATTACATACGTGTCCTTATCCCCCCCTTATCCCCCCAACCCCCCACTCATGCCCTCACCCCCCTGTTGTCTGTGTCCACTGGTTATGCTTATATGCATGCATACAAGTCCTTTGGTTGCTCTCTCCCCCTTACCCCCACCCTCCCCTACCTTCCCTCTGAGGTTTGACAGTCTGATCGATGCTTCTCTGTTTCTGGATCTGTTTTTGTTCATCAGTTTATGTTGTTCATTATATTCCATAAATGAGTGAGATCATGTGTTCTTTCTCTGACTGGCTTATTTCACTTAGAACTTAGTGCATTTTCATTGATTTCCATTATTAGGGTTTGTTTAAATGGAACAAAAACTCAAATACATGCAAAGCAATTTGAGTGCAGAAATCTGTATTTTTCTCTGATCATTTACATTTGTCTGGCCCACATCTAACCATCATTTTTTTCTTAGTAACTTTTATCAAGTTTTCTTGAAGCATGCATTTGATTTTCACAAGAACTAAAATGATTTTTCTTGTCCCACAAACAGAAAGAGCACACAAAAGTCTAGAAGGGTCTTCACCTGCCTGGAGCATGCAGCATGCCCTGGCATGAGTCACTCAGTAAGTGAGCTTAGACTATGAGTGTGACAGGTTTTAGGAGTTGAAAATACTAAAGGGAAATAGGATGCTTCTATGATATCATGAAAGAGGCTAATTAAACATTGAATATTATTTTTAAAAATATTTTTTGAAAAGACATACAAAGGGAGTCCAAGAGAAAAAACTAATTTTGTCCGTTCAAAGGAGCTTTCCCTGATCAACACAGTTTACACTAATCTTTTTCTTCTCATACACTATTTCAAATATAATCCATATGAATGATGGGGAAATGAGTACAAAGACAAAAAGGAAAGCTACACTTCTAGCAAATTTAGGTTTATTAAAAGAACATAGAGGAGAAAGATTAGATTTTTGTTTTAGTTGTTAAGAGAGGAGGGGAAATGAAGTTCATTAAGTGTATATATCAAAATGGATAAGATTGCCCAGAGAGTGTGTCTGAACTGATAAGAGGGTTCAGAACACAATCCCAAGGAACATATATGTTTGAGGCATAGATAGAGAAGGTAGTCAAAGAAGTAAAAAGGAAACCAATAGAAAGTATTTTCCCAGGAGCCAAATAAGAGGGCCTTTCAAGAATGGAAGTGAACAGAACATATAGATTTTTATTTTCTTTTTCATCTGGGCTGTGAACAGAAGGAGAGAGAGTAGGTATTAGAAGGGGACAGAGAGTTGTAAGGGAATTTAAAAAAAATTACTGACTTGAATATGTTTATGTAAAGTGGAGAAGGAAAGATTGAGAAAACAGGAAAGGAGGGAAGCAGAATAACAGAGAAAAGTCCCATAGGAAATGCAAGAAGTATGGGATGAATAGAGGACTAGCTTTGAAACATTTTAATAAAGCTGTGAGTGAATGATAGACTGGGAGAAAAGGGATAAATGGAGGCAATGGGAGATAAGTGATAAAGCAGGAAAAATCACAGGATTTGGTTACACTTCCAATCAATTTTAAATTCCTAATGAATAGTTCTGGATTAAGGAGAACAGAATGTGGTATGGAGTGGGATGTCAAGGAAAAGTGTGGGTGATGTTTGTTAGAGTCAAGAAAAACAAGGAAGTTGGAGATAAGGAGTTTTGGATTTGATAATCTCATGTGAAAATAAACCTTTGATGGTGATAAGAGTTGGAATTCATTTGTTTCAATTCTGAACTGCCATGGGTTCCCTAGAAGTGTCGTTTTTTTCTCTCTCTTTTCTATATATATAAAAGCCTAAGCAACCAAACAACCAAACGACAGGGTGACCGGTTGCTATGACATGCTCTGGCCACCAGGGGGCAGACACTCAACTCAGGAGCTGCCCTCTGGTGGTCAGTGTGCTCCCACAGAGGGAGCGCTGCTCAGCTGACTGACAGGCGCCAGATGCCAGGCTCACAGTCGCAAGCCTTTCCCACCTCCATGACAGCACTACCAAGCGGCTGTGGCAGGCGCAGTGGGGCCAGCTGCACGGCGCCTGGCCCGGGCTCGGGGTCCTCCCCAGCCACCTGCCACTTCATGCACTACTACATCCCTGCAGGGATCAAGCTGAAACCGGCAGTCCAACATCCCCTGAAGGGTCCCAGATTGTGAGAGGGCACAGGCCAGGCTGAGGGACCCCACCGATGCACGAATCTGTGCACTGGGCCTCTAGTGTCATATAAAGTAGGAACTGCCTTGATTAAACTGATGCTAAGTCAGATGTGGTTAGCCTTAGTTAGGCATCAAATTCCCATGGTAGCTAGCTTTATTCCCAGGCTGTTTGGTGTTTGTAATGAGAATCTGAGGACTAAAGGTAACAATAGAGGACAATACTGATATGGGCTTATTAAAAGAATATCTAAAGATATATTTTTGTTATGGAGATGTTTCACTTATTTTATTAGACTGAGATGAGTAGTTTGTTTTTTAAAGATCATGTATGTACTGTTTCTCTTTTAGCATACCAATGTGTTTGTTGGTTAATCAGCATCTTAGTCTTCTAGCAAGAAAGTTTCCAGAAACTAAATTTACGAAAGCCATCGTGAATAGCTGTATTCAACACTACCATGATAATTGTTTACCAACAATTTTTGTTTATAAAAACGGTCAGATAGAAGGCAAATTCATTGGAATTATAGAATGTGGAGGAATAAATCTCAAGCTAGAAGGTAATTATATTATTTTTAAAATTTGTTTGAAAAAAAAAGAGGTGAAACTTCACTAAATTAACAAATATCATGGAAGTTTATTTCCATAAGATTGCTTTCCTTTTCTTCCAGTCTCTGCTTGTATTCCTCTAGATTAATTTCCTATAATAATATTCTTATCATAACACCCAATTCCTTAAGTCCTTATTGGTTCCTTGTCTCAAATAAGTTAAAAATTCGGAATTTTCTGCCTGAGAATTTCAGCCCACTTATCTAACTGTATTTCTCAATGCTTTCCAGTTTCTGCGCAGCCAGGCTGGACTTCAGCCACTACCCCAGACACACTCATTTGTTCCTTTATACTTTGTTTCATACTCTTTCCCTTTGCCCCAAATAACCTACTCTTTATTCTTGCTTCCAAATCCTATTCCCTCATGGGTCTCCTAGTTTTCCATTTATCCCATGATATGATTTTGGACCAGTTCATAATCTGTCTTTCTGTTCTCTATTGAATTTCTATAGCATATATTCTCTATACAACTAACTTTTCACTTATCCACATACTATCTGATTTTGTTGGTTAATTAATTCCCTTTGAACTTTGTCTCCCTAATAAGTACAAGGACCATATATCCTATTATTTTCTTTTTCATAGTACATAACACAGGACTTGATATTTCTACCTTCCTTAATGATTTTTACTTCCTGACTTAGTTCTGAGGCCATATCCTTCATCAACTCATTACTTGGGACTGCATTAATTTCATATTATACAAATCTTTTTCTCTTACCGTTGTGTTAAAGCCATTGTGAATAGTTGTTTTTAACAGCTAGTTTATCCACTCTTTAGTTCCCTTAAAACTGTTTTTGGCCTTACCGAGGCCTCCAATACCTTAATTGTTCCCGAATTACCCCCTTTCCTTCTCCTAGTCTCTAGGGCCCTCTTTGTTTTATCACCCTGTTTTTTTCAGCTTGGACCTCATTCCTTTATTTAATTTTTTTAAAAAAATAATAGGAAAAACAATAATATAGCACTCATTCATGTAATTACCAAAAATAACAAATGTGAACATTTGTTCATGTTTGCTTCAGCTATTTTGTTAAACTGCTGAAATAAACTTTACAGATATAGTTGAAGTTACCTATATTTCCATTCCTAGAACCATTCCCTCCTTTCCTCCCTAGAGACAATCACTATCATGAATAATGTGCTATCTGGTCCAGGCTTTTTTAACTAGTATATTAAAAATATTTTTAGCCCTAGCTGGTTTGACTCAGTGGATAGAGCTTCAGCCTGCTGACTGAAGGGTCCCTGGTTCGATTCCAGTCAAGGGCACATGCCTGGGTTGCAGGCTTGATCCCCAGTAGGGGGTATGCAGGAGGCAGCCAATCAATGATTCTCTCTCATCATTGATGTTTCTCTCTCTTTCTCCCTCTCCCTTCCTCTCTGAAATCAATAAAAATATTTAAAAATATTTTTAAATTGTCATAAAATATACATAATATGAAATTTACCATCTTAAACATTTTTAAATACATAATGCAGTATTATTAACTACAGTTACCATGATATACATTATATATCCAGGACTTTATTTTGTAAATAAGTAAGTTATTTAACCATTTTCAAATATAGAGTTCAGTGGCATTGTGTGCATTCACATTATTGTGCTACCACCACCATTATCCATCTCTAGAATACTTTGATCTTGCATAACTGAAACTCTATACCAATTAAACAATAACTCCCCACTCCCCTCTCCCTGTAGCCCCTGGCCACTACCATTCTACTTCCTGACTCTGAATTTGACTACTCTCAGTACCTCGTATAAGTACATCATACAGTATTCTTTAATGTCCTCAATGTTCATCCATGTTGTAGCATGTATCAGAATTTCCTTCCTATTTAAGGCTGCATAATACTGCATTGTGTTTTTATACCATATTTTGCTTACCCATTTATCTGTTGATGGACACTTGAGTTGCCTTTATCTTTTGGTTATTGAGAATGAGGCTGCTATGAACATGATGTACAAATAATCAGTTCTAGTCCCTGTTTTCAATTCTTTTGGGTATATACTTGGAAGTAGAATTGCTGAGTCATATGGTAATTCTGTTATAATTTTTTGAGCAACAGCATACTGTTTTCCATACTAACTGCACCATTTTATACTCCCACCAACAGTGTACAAGAATTCCAGTGTCCCACATTCTTACCAACACTTGTTATTTTCTGTTTGTTTGTTTTTATTGTAGCCATCTTAATGTGTGTGAGGTATTTTCCCTACTGATTTAAATGTTTCCTATGTTATTTTTTATGGTTCAAAAATACTTTAGTTTGTTTCTGACGTCTCTACTATTTGCTTATCTCTGAATCAATATAGCATGGTCTTAGCTTTATAACTACCTAGTTGTCTCTAGTAGGCCAAGTCTTTTTCAAAATTTCATATAAATGTTAGAATCAGTCAAGTTTTGTGAAAAATCCTGTTGATTATTTATTAGAGTAATTGTTAGAGACTTCATATCCTAATTACAGTGGATATTTCTATCCACGAATGAGATATCTCTTGTCACTTATTTAGGTCTTTTATAATTTTCCTCATAAATATAATATGTATACATTATATATTGTAATGTAATATATTTTGTAATTTTCCTTAAAAGTGCATTTTATAATTTTCCTCATATTCTGTTCATCTACTCAGTGCTTAGGAATAAAATTGACAAAATGGTGAATTTGTAGGAATGGGGGAATTTAGGGTTATCAAGTCAATTCTTTTCAGTTTTTCTCTTGGATATATTTTGGTATTTCATATTTTTGTTGAAACTTTTTCATTAAAGTTTTCAAATGTATTGGCATTAGTGTTTTCATAAGTAGTCTCAGAGCTTTAAAATCTTTACTTTGGTTATGTCCCATGTCAATTCTTGGTATTATTTGTTTTTTTCTCCTTTTTCTTATCACCATTTTTGTGTGAGGTGTGTCTATTAATCTTTTCAAGCCACCAGCTTTTTATTTTCTTGGTCACCTCTACTTACTTTGTTTTCCTACTTTGTTGAGTGTTTTCTTTCTGTATATCCCTCTTTCTGATTTTCTTGGGTTTACTTTATTGTTCTTTTTTTAGCTTCTTGATTTGAACTTTCAAACAACTTATTTTCAATCATTTTAAAATAAAAATTTTAACCAAAATTTCTCCCTTTAAGTATAATTTTGCTCTATCCAATGCATATTTTGATATTGTAGTGCTTTCATTGTCATCCAGTTCTAAATATACCCTTTCCAGTCGTATTTCTCTCTAGTTCTCAGTGATTTAAATGTGACCAAGCCTTCTGTACTTTGTCACAAAAAAATGGGTTTTTCAGGTGACTATTTTGGTGTCAAAATAAGAATTTATGCTGTATTACTGTCAATTCATTTTGAATTAAAATATGTATTTTGCAGCAAAAATATACCTTTTTCACATTAATTTTATTAGAATCAACTCTTTTCATATAGATGAGAAATTCTTCTTTTCATTTTTCTAAGATTTTAATCTAATTTAATGATGGGTTATTATTGCAGAACTTGAATGGAAGTTAGCAGAAGTTGGAGCAATACAGACTGATTTGGAAGAAAACCCCAAAAAAGGCATTATAGATGTGATGGTATCTTCAATAAGAAACACTTCTATTTATGATGACACTGATAGTTCAAACAGTGATGATGACGATACCAAATAGAGGGAAATAGTTAATAAATAGCTTTAAAGTGTTTATGTACTGACTGTTTTATTTGTCACTGCCTTTATAATCAGAGATCAGAAAATTTATAGATTTATTGTCAGTTTCATGTTAGAATTATAGCGTAGACATCATTTCAAAAACTTTCAGGTATTTCAGAAATTGCCTCTAACAAAACCAGAATGTATACTGAATCCTTAAATTATTTTTCTCTGGCTTATCCTTTTTCTGAACCACTTTGGACAAAATGATGATATTACAAGTCCTCTGAATGAGAATGATGAAAGAGAACCGTGAAATTTCATTTAATTTATAGTAATAAATTTTAAAGTCTATTATTTAGGGGCCTTGAGTGTAAGTACTTAAATTTGTGACCATACGCTTTTTCTTTGAAATTTCTCACTTATTAAAAAAATTAACCACTCAATATAAAAATGCAACTTAAACATTCTAAAAAGTACATAAGAAACCATCCACTTATTATTATTGTTTTAATATTTCTATTGTTAAGTTATAAAATGAATAAATACTGTCATAATAGGCTATAGAATCATTAGAACTATATGACATGTAAATTTCTAAATCAGGAGAAGGGAGAAAAACATATTGTGAAGTTTACCTATGTTTTAATAGTAATACCAGAATAAATCATCAACAGAAAACATATAATATTAGGATACTGCAAAAGGCCTGCAGGATGTTTTAATTTGGTTTAATAATGAACACCATTTTTATTTCTTTTTACTTTTTATTTTTGTTAATCCTCACCTGAGGATATTTTTCCCATTGATTTTTTAGAGATAGTGGAAGGGAGGAAGGAGAGAGAGAGAGGAGAAAGAGAGAAACATTGATGTGAGAGAGACGCATCAATTGGTTGCCTTCTGCACAGGCCCCGAACAGGGCCAGGATTGAACCTGCAACCCAGGTACTTGCCCTTAACTGGGAATTGAACCTGTGACCCTTCAGTGTGTAGACCAATGCTCTAACCACTAAGAAACACAGATTTGAGTAAGGTAATTATAATGCATTTCAGCAGGTAGAGTGACATCAAATGGTCTAACTTTGGAAAGAATTAGGAAGACCCCTTTCTTCTAAGATAGCAAAGAAGGGCTCTTGAAAATATACAGCTTGGGATGAAGGGAAGGAAAATTGTGAAGGAAAGTTATGAGTTGCACGTGATGGTCTTTATTTCAGCATTCTGCACACATATAAGAGAAATAATTACCTATACTGATCCAACTCCTGAAGTTCTCTTTAACAAATAAATGGATACATTTCTATTAAAAATAAAACCATCGTGGAAATTAAAGGAAAAGCCATATAATCATAAACTTAAAATGTAACTTTAATGCCATCTAATGCATATAAATATGAATATTATTTTCCCCTTCAATTGAAATCAAATGGAGAAAGTCCCCCTAAATGCAATCCTTTTCTAGTAAGTATATATTTATCTATTTTCTTTTTAAAATTAAAATGAACAGAGGACGTACTAATAAATAGTATTTAAGATATCTGAATAAAAAGATGCATATTTACCTTTTAACTCTTAACTCAAATCCAGCAGGTGGCAGTAAGTTTTTATCCACAATCACAGTTCATGAAGACTTTAACATTTGTAAAAATCCTAAAAATATAGCCTGTTAAAGGTGGCTGGCTGTAATTCCAGCCCCAGCCATTTTTAAAGGTACACACACACACACACACACACACACACACACACACACTTCTGGCAAGTACTCCTGCCTGTGTACACAGGTCAGTACTACTTCATTTATATATTCTGATTTAAGTAGGGCATAAATAGTTGTTAGAATGCAGAGGCATTATTTAATTCCAATATTGTGTTTCCCATTTTATGAATTTTTTATTTGATGGGATACAAACAAAAGATTTTTAAAAAATATATTTGTATTGATTTCAGAGAGGAAGGGAGAGGAGAGGGAGAGGTAGAAACATCAATGATGAGAGAGAATCATTGATCTCTGCCCCTTGCACACCTCCTACTGGGGATTGAGCCTGAAACCCAGGGCATGTGCCCTGACCAGGAATCAAACTGTGACCTCCTGGTTCATATGTTGATGCTCAACCACTGACCCACCCCAGCGGGACAAGATTTTTTTTAGTTGGCAATATTCAACTGTTTTTGACCTACAAAAATGGATATTTCACCTGTTCCAACCCAGTATTTTTTTCTCTATTCCTTGCTGCCAACTGTGCTCTTTTGAAGCTCCCTTCCTACTTTATAGTGCCTTGTCTGTCAAAGTGTGGTCCTGGAATCAGAAGCATCCCCCGGGAGCTTGTTAGAAATGCAGAATCTCTGGCCCCATCCCACACTCACTGAGTTGGAAATGTTGTTTTAATGAGATCCTTAGGTGATTAAGCAGCATTGAGTAGCAAATTCCTTAAAGACATCTTGAACATATTCTTTAATCTTTTCCTCCACACTCTTGGTTATTAAAAGTGTGTCTGGTTTGCCTTAGTCGGTGTGGCTCAGTGTTTAGAGTGTTGGCCTGCAGACTGAAGGGTCCTTGGTTCGATCCCAGTAAAGGGCACATACCTGGGTTGCAGGCTTGATTCCTGTCCCTGGTCAGGATGCATGTGGGAGGCACGCAATCGATGTGTCTCTTGCACATTGATGTTTCTCTCTCTCTGTCTCCCTCTGTCTCTTCCACTCTCTAAAAATCAATGGAAAAATATCCTCGGGTGAGGATTAACAAAAAATAAAAGTATGTTTGGTTTAAAATCCAATCTCAGTTCCAAGGCAAGTGTTCTCTGACTGAACTGTGACTCAGGAACTCTGAAGAGAGAAGGTGGGGTTTGTTTTTAATCAATTATTTCCCTCTCTTTTCAAGGCCCTTTCTCTCTGGTGTGGTGTGGGGTGGGGACTGGAAGGGAAATTGGGAAGAAAGGGATACATTTTTCTCTGCTGGTTAAGTACTATCCATGTTGCATCTTAAATGGTCACTCATTAATGGGCACAAGAGTTCTAGAAACTGAAGCAGGCTCTGCCCTGCACAGTTCTTTGACATGGGAAATCAGCCTAGCCTGCAGCTCTCTCTCTCTGTCTTTCTAATTCCCCCTTTCAGAAGTATAGCCAGCCTCTTGCTGCTAGAATTTCTTTTCCCTTAGGTGTTAAACCTGGACGTCACTTTCTACACAGCATCAGTGGACCCAGGAGGAACATACACATTCTTGCCATGCCAAATTACAGGAGTGTACGTTGCTTTACTCAACCTATACCTTAACCAGATGTTTCTCTCCAGTCTCTATCCTGTTTATGTAGGTGCAGGGTGTATCAGCAAATGTGTTAGTGGATGAGATGCCAGTTTCTCCTTACAGTTCCCTCCAGTTTCTCTAGCTGAGTCTACTGGAGCCTTGTTTATTTAGCTTGGAGTGGGGTGGGGATAAATCAAAAGGAAAAGCCACAGTACTGCCCAGGAACCTGACTAGCGCCAATAATTCTTCCATGCTCCTCTTTCTAAGTCTTCTGCTTATGTGACTGGAGAGTCAGGGTTTAAGTCTTTTTACTGCCAACCTCATAATACTAGCTCATATTATTGTATTTCCCCTCTATTTTAAAGGATCTAGAAAGAATATGAGTAATTGAGCAAACCATGAAGGTTTTTCTAAAAAGAAACCTTATATTCCCTAATATGCATATCTTAAACGTCCTATGTTCCATTTTCCTGAATCTGTAGTGGTAAAATTCTGAATGTCAGTAAAAGGATGGGTGAGGGAAGTACTATGAATGTACAGAAAGAACTTTGTGACAGATAGGACATAGGGAACTAGGAAAATTTGAGCAAAAGAGATGTAAGAATTACACAAAAAGGACCATCATTAATAACAGCCAACACTAACTTGGGATTTCTTATGTACCTGGTATAATTACACACACACACACCTGTATGTGTCATCTATCTACTATATCTCCTCTCAATTATCCTATCAGATGGGATCATTATTATCTTCATTTTACAGATGAGGGAGCTGAAGAACAGAGAAATAACTTGTTCAAAATCATGTAGATATTAAGTGGTGGGGCTGGGATTTCTTTTATTTATTATTTCCATCACCATTTATTCTCCCTACACACTTTTCCACCTCCACCCACCCCTTTCCCTCACCCCCCACAATCCCACACTGTTGTCCATGTTTATGAATTCTTTTTTGCTCAATCCCCTTCACCCCCACCCCCCATTGTCTGCTGCTCTCTATCTTTTCATATGTCTATTGGCCATCTGTATGTCCTCTTTGGAGAAGTATCTATTCAGGTCCTTTGCCCATTTTTTAATTGGATTGTTTATTTGGTATTGAGTTTTATAAGTTCTTCATAAATTTTGAATATTAACCCCTCATCAGATGTATCAGTGAATATGTTCTCCCATTCAGTGGGTTGTTTTTTTATTTTGTTGATGGGTTTTTTTTGCTGTGCCAAAAATTTTTAGTTTGATATAGTCCCATTTGTTTATTTTTTCTTTTGTTTCTCTTGTCTGAGGAGATATATCAGAAAAAGTATTACTCCAAGAAGTGTCCGAGATTTTACTGCCTATGTTTTCTTCTAGGACTTTTATGGTTTCGAGTTTAACATTTAATTCATTTTGAGTTTATTCTGGTGTGCAGTGTAAGAAGGTGGTCTAGCTTCATTTTTTTTGGGTGTATCTAATTTTCCCAGACCATTTATTGAATAGACTATCTTTACCCCATTTTATGTTTTTGCCTGCTTTCTCAGATATTAATTGACTATAAAGGTGTGGGTTTATTTCTGGGCCCTCTATTCTGTTCCATTGATCTATATGTCTGTTTTTATGCCAGTACCATACTGTTTTGATTATTATGGCCTTGCAATATAGTTTGATATCAGGTAGTGTGATTCCTCCAACTTTGTTCTTCTTATTCAAGATGGCTGATGCTATTTGAGATCTTTTGAATTTTTGGAATATTTGTTCTAGTTCTGTGACATATGCCATTGGTTTCTTGATAGAAATTGCATTGAATCTGTAAATTGCTTTGGGTAGTATG